ACTTGTTTTGAGATATTCCCCATACAGTTTTCTGAGCCTTTCAGAGGGTCACGTTTATGTCAGTTATCTTTGTTTTCTTTTTTTTTTTTTTTGGCTTTTTGGGTCACACCCAGCGATGCTCAGGGGTTACTCCTGGCTCTGCACTCAGGAATCACACCTGACATGCTGGGGGACCATATAGGATGCTGGGGATGGAACATGGGTTGGTCATATGCAAGGCAAATGCACTCCCCGCTGTACTATCACTCCGGTCCTATCTTTGTTGCTTTGTTTTTGTTTTGGGGTCACCCCTGGCGGTGCTCAGGGTTTACTCCTGGCTCTGTGCTGAGGGGTCCCTCCTGGCAGGGCCATATGGTGACCATAGGAGGTGCCGAGGATCAAGCCCGGGCCGGCCGTGTACTAGTGCTCTGGCCCCTGTGTCCATTACCTTTAGCCGTAATTAGGAGCAGAAGTGTCCCCCCTCATTGTCACTGATGCCACTGTGTTCTGGGGGTGAGCATGAGGGAGGTCCTCCTCCTGCAGGGCCCAAGGAGCTGGGGGCGAGTCTCTGGAGGGGACTGGACATGGACAGGACTTGGATTCTGCTGCCCTTGCTTTCTTGCTCTGGTTAGCTTTGGACAGGGCAGCTGCCCTCTGAATCCTGGTTTTCCCCCCTAACATGGGAGCTGGCACACACACCTTCCCCTAAGTAAGCCTGTGATTTGCTGCACCCCCAGGGTCCTCTGCCCTCTCTGACTCCCCTGGTCCTCCAGATGATCAGACAGATGATCAGTTTCTGGACCAGGAAATGTCGAAGGAAAGCATTAGATACTGATGGAGTTCTGAGTGGGAGCCACTCAGCCGGGAGGAAGGTGATGCCTTTTTTTGTTTTGGCCTTTTGGGTCACACCTGGCGATGCACAGGGGTTACTCCTGGCTTTTGCACTCAGCAATTACTCCTGGCGGTGCTCAGGGGACCATATGGGATGCTGGGGCTCAAACTTGGGTCAGCCGTGTGCAAGGCAAACGCCCTACTAACTGTGCTATCGCTCCAGCCCTGGAAGGTGATTTTTTAAAAAAGATTTTATTTATTTATTTTTATGCTTTTTGGGTCACTCTGGCTCTGCACTCAGGAATAACTCCTGGTGGTGCTCGGGGGACCATATGGGATGCTGGGAATTGAACCCGGGTCGACCGCGTGCAAGGAAAACGCCCTACCCGCTGTGCTATTGCTCCAGCCCCAGAAGATGATGCTTTATGTGTGGGTGACCACACATCAAAAAACCAAAAACAACCCATGCTGACAGGGATGTGGGGAAAAGCAACCCTTGTCCACTGCTAATAAGAACGTTGACTGGGTCATCCCTTTTGGAAAAACAATAGGTAGATTCCTCAAAAAAAGAAACCTAGGAATTGAGCTTCCAGACAATCCAGCAACTCCATTTCTTGGAATCTACTCCAAAGGCCCAAAACTCTAGGCAGAAAAGATATCAGCACTTCTGTGTTCATTGCTGCACTGTTCATGATAGATTAAATCTGGAAATAGATCTAGCAGACTCCCTGTGCCAACAAATCATTCTTTTCAAATGGTGGCACAATCCATAGTGGGACAGAAGATGAGATAAACTCATGCAGTTCGCGACTCTGGATGCAGTCGGGGGGTCGTGCCGAGTGATTTCAGCCAGAAGGAGAGAGAGACACAGAATGACCTGTCCCATGTGGGCTCTAGAGAAGCGTAGTAAGAAAAGAACAAATGGGGGCTAGAGCGATAGCACAGCGGGTAAGGCGTTTGCCTTGCACGCAGCCAACATGGCCAATACAGGTTCGATTCCCAGCATCCCATATGGTCCCTCGAGCACCGCCAGGAGCAATTCCTGAGTGCATGAGCCAGGAGTAACCCCTGAGCATTGCCGGGTGTGACCCAAAAAGCAAAAAAAAAAAAGAAAAAAGAACAAATGGTCATTGGGAACAGAACCCGTGATTCTACAGAACCGAGCTTACATGGCAGGCGACTGGTGTGGTGTTGGGACACTGTGTGCATGACTCTCTGTCTCTGAGTCACATGCTGTAAACCCCGGTTTCTAAGATGAAATTTATTTTGGAAGGAAAATGAAAACACTGATAATAGGAAAGATAAAAAGAGGGTGGCCAGTTGGGCCTTCCTGGAGGGTTGCCTGCAAGCTGAGATTTGCAGGAAGGGAGCCCTGCGGTGGGAGTGGGGTGCAAGGGAGGGGTTGTCCCTCTAGGTGAGGCAGCAGCAAGAGCCCATGCCGCAGTGGCTGTGGGCAAGTGGACAGAGCTGGAGTCATGGCACGTTGGGTCTTGTAGGTCCTGTAGGAGTTCGGTGTTTATGTTAGGGGTGAGGAGAAGCCATCTCTATGGCTTTAGGCAAGGAGCAGGAGGTATGGGGCTGGAGCGGGGAGGGTGTTTGCCTTGCACTTGGCTGACCTGGATTCGATCCCCGGCATCCCATATGGTGCCCCGAGCACCGCCAGGAGTCGTTCCTGAGTGCAGAACCAGGAGTAACCCCCGAGAGCGTCTTTGGGTGTGATGGAAAAAAGTTAAAAAAAAAAAAAGCAGGAAGTGTGTTGTGGTGCTGCCAGGTGGTGATGGACAGAGGTCACAGCATGCTAAGGGAGCAGGGAGAAGAGGGCTGAGGGGACCCCAGGACGATCGAATTCAGGCTCAGACCCAGCGAGGGTGTGCATCCAAGCCTGAAGGCAGCTCTGCTCTTTCATTTCCTGAGACATAAAAAGTAGGCGCCCATTTGGACAGAGCTGTGTCCACTAAGGTGCCTTCAGAGACCTGCTCTGAAGCCCGAGGCCTGGCCAGGGGCCAGGGGATAAGACCAGCGAGAACGGATGATGGTCCTTCCAAAAGCTGCCTTGGAGGCCTGTTTGGTTTCTGGTCATTAAAAAAAAAATGAAATAAGTAATAGAAGCAGCCCCACCCCGACAAATCATTCCGTTCAAAGGTTTCTGCAGACATGGAGCATTTTCTTGTTGACCTCTCACTGTGAACAGTTCATTCCCCGGGCTGGCCTGATAGTACAGCGGGGAGGCCGTTTGCCTTGCATGCAGCTGACCTGGGTTCAATCCTCTCATGTGGTCCCCCGAGCACTGCCAGGAGTAATTCCTGAGTGTAGAACCAGGAGTAACCCCTGAGCCTCTCTGGGTGTGACCCAAAAAGCCAAAACACAAAGAACATTTCACTGCTTTGGGTTAAGGATGCTGCTTATGCCTCTGCTTGGCTCTGTGAAAACCCTGAGGTGAGTTCTGACATCCTTCGTGGATGCCTCCCCCCGCTCCCCCGGGGCCAGGTGCATTTGTCCCCATCTTACAGATAAGGAAACTGAGGCTCAGGAAGGCGAGAGGGCTTTTGCAGCTGATAGGCAGTGCAGCCTGGCCTCGGGCTCCCTGGCCTGGTGCTGTCTCCCACACTGTGCCCCCAAGTCCTGGGTTGGAGAAGAGAGGCCACTTGTGTGGGTGGACAGCTATGAGACCAGGCTGCATGTGACTGTGCCCTGTGGGCAGCACAGCTGCTTCCCACCGAGCTTGCTGGGCTGTGTCCAGGTGTGGCCTCTACCCAGCCTTCTGCACAGGGTGTGGCAGGGGTTGGAGCCCACCACGTGGTCCAGGAGCAAGCCGGGATGATGCTTGAGGCTCCCTGATAGCTGATAGCTTTTTTATTTTCTTTTTGGGTCACACTCAGCGATGCTCAGAGGTTACTCCCTGACTCGGCACTCAGGAATTACTCCTGGTGGTGCTCAGGGGACCATCTGGGATGCTGGGAATCAAACCCTGGTCGGCCATGTGCATGGCAAAGGCGCTCTCCACTGGACTATTGCTCCAACCCCTTCCTGATGGCTTTGGACGAGAACAGCAGCATCTCTGTGGATTGGAACTGACTCTGATTTGGCCTTTGGGGATTGGGGGTATGGAATTGGGTTTGAGGGGATACCCACAATGTTTGGGGGATACTCCTGGCTCTGTGCTTGGTGATCCTTCCCCAGTGGTGCTGGGGGGTGTGTTGGGAGTAGGCAAGGATGAGGGAGGAAGCGTGGAATACCAGGGACCTAACCCAGCTCAGCTGGATGCAAGGCAGGTGCCTTCACCCTGTCCCATGTCTCCGGCCTGACCTCTCGAGCTGCTCAGGCTTCCGTTCCCAGGAGCTCTTTGCCTGGCCCAAGGAGAGGAGAGATGGGGCTGGAGAGACAGTGCGGTAGGGAGGATGCTGGCCCTGCCGCTGCCAGCCCGGTTCCATCCCTGGCCTTCCATATGGTGCCCTGAGCACAGAGCCAGGAGGGGACCCCAGAACCGGGAGTGACCCCTAAGGACTACAAAGTGTGGCCCACCCCCCACTGGAAAAAGAGAAAGGGGGGATAGACAGGATTTCAGAAAGGGACTGGGGCCATGGGCCACCACGCTCAGTGTCTTGTCCCCTGCCCCTTCAGATACCCTTGCTGGGCTGCCATATCATCTATTTATTTAAAAAAATATTTTTAAACATTTATTTATTTATTTATTTTGCTTTTTTTTTGTCATATCCGGTGATGCACAGGGGTTACTCCTGGCTTTTCACTCAGGAATTACTCCTGGCGGGGCTCGGGGGACCATATGGGATAATGGGAATCGAACCTGGGTCCGCCATGTGCAAGGCAAATGCCCTCCCTGCTGTGCTATTACTCCAGCCCCATTTATTTATTTATTTATTTTGGTTTTGGGGCCACACCTGACAATGCTCAGGGGTTATTCCTGACTCTGCACTCAAAGAATTACTCTTGGCGCTGCTTGGGGGACCTCGGGGGATGCTAGTGACCGAACCCGGTCCTGCGGGACGGTGAAGCAAATGCCCTCCAAGCTGTACTATGGTATCCTCTTCCAAAGGAGGCATGTTCTGGACCCCAGGGTGCCCGGGCACCCGGGTGCAGCACCTCCCGGCCACTCTCATTCTCTGACCTCCCTGCCTTTGACTTTCAGGGGTGCCCCCAGCGCCAGCCAGGCGTCGCCTCTGGACCCCTCCGGCCCTTCCTCCTCTGAGCAAGATGTCCACCGGGAGCCCGGCCCAGCGCCCGCGGCCTTGAGTGGGGCGCTGAGCCCCCCGCAGCGCACCATGGGCAACGCCAGCGCCGACAATGCCTCGGTGCTCAGCTGCGTCATCGACCACACCATCCACCAGACCCTGGCCCCGGTGGTCTACCTGGCCGTGCTGGTGGTGGGCTTCCCCGCCAACTGCCTGGCGCTCTACTTCGGCTACCTGCAGATCAAGGCCCGCAACGAGCTGGGCGTGTACCTGTGCAACCTCACGCTGGCCGACCTGTGCTACATCTGCTCGCTCCCCTTCTGGCTGCAGTACGTGCTGCAGCACGACCACTGGTCGCACAGCGAGCTGTCGTGCCAGCTGTGCGGCATCCTGCTGTACGAGAACATCTACATCAGCGTGGCCTTCCTCTGCTGCATCTCCATCGACCGCTACCTGGCCGTGGCGCACCCCTTCCGCTTCCACCAGGTGCGCACGCTGAAGGCGGCCGTGGCCGTGAGCGCGGGCATCTGGGCCAAGGAGCTGCTGGTCAGCGTGTACTTCCTGCAGCACCCCGAGGTGGTGGAGGAGGGGGGCCCCAGCCGCCACCGCCTGTGCTTCGAGCACTACCCGCTCTTGCCCTGGCAGCGCGCCTTCAACTACTACCGGCTGCTCGTGGGCTTCCTCTTCCCGCTCGGCCTGCTGGCCGCGTCCTACCGCGGCATCCTGCGCGCCGTGCGCCGCAGCCACGGGACCCAGCAGAGCCGCAAGGCGCAGATCCAGCGGCTGGTGCTCAGCACCGTGGTCATCTTCCTGGCCTGCTTCCTGCCCTACCACGCGCTGCTGCTCGTGCGCAGCGTCTGGGAGCGCAGCTGCGGCTTCGCGCGCCGCATCTTCGACGCCTACCACTTCTCCTTGCTGCTCACCAGCCTCAACTGCGTGGCTGACCCCGTGCTCTACTGCTTCGTCAGCGAGACCACCCACCGGGACCTGGCGCGCCTGCGAGGGGCCTGCCGGGCCCTGCTGCCCTGCGCCGCCCGGGGAGCCCGGGGGACCCGGGATGCGCCCCCGCTGGGCGCCCCCGACGCCGCTGCCGCCGCCGCCGCCGCGGGCCCTGGTGAGGACCCCGAGGTCCTGGCCAAGCTCCACCTGCCCTTCCAGGGCCCGCACTCGGGGACGGCGGCGGCGGCGGGGGCAGCGCTCACGGCCGGCCTGGCCTAGCACCGGAGGCCGCGTGCGTGCGTGCGTGCGTGCGTGCGTGGACACTGGCGGCTGTGCCCAGGGCGGGGCGGGGTTCCTTTGTGGGCTGCGGGGAACCGAGGACGTCAGTACCTCCCCACGCCCAGGGGGGCTGTGGGTGGGGTGTGTGGATGGGGAGGGGATGGGACCCCTCTGCTCCTGGGTGCCGCTGCAGGACAAGAGATGAGAAAGATTCCTCCGGTGAGTTTTTTTTTTTTAAGGGGGAAGGGCGCAGAGCCCAGGCGGGTGGGGTGCCAGGGAGCCCCTCGGTCCCAGGGCACCCAGCTTCTCTGAGCAGAGGAGGCTCCACCCAGGCTGCCCCCCCACTGAGAAGGACGTGAGTGGGGTTAGGAGGCTGGGTGGAAGGAAGGAAAGTGGGGAGGCTGTGAGGTTCTGGGAGGGCATCCCATCCCCCACACAGGTGGGAGTGGGGAGAGATAGTCAAAGACACCCAGTTCCATCAGGGGAGGGCAGCAGTTGTGCTTCAGTCCTGGGGTACCCCTATGGGGGCTGGAGGTCAGGACCCGCAGCATCTCGGAGTCCCTGTCAAATTGGCATCTGCCCACAGCACCAGACCCAGGAGCCTGGGGTCATCTCCCCATGATGGGAGAGAAGGGGGTTCCTCCCCTCCTTTTAGAAGCGTTGGTGGCCCCCAGGGGTCCTGTGGATCCCGGAGGTGCTCAGTGTCTTCTGTGGCTGGCCCAGGAGGCCGGCAGGCACAGACCGGGCTCCTCTCTGCCTGCCCATGCTGAAGGCCGTGGAGAACAGACCAATGGCTTTCCTGCTCTTTGGGGGGCCGGGCCCCCTCTACCCTTTGCTGCTCCTTCAGCGCTGATGTCCCTCAAAGGCCTGGGATGGGCTGAGCTCAGAACCGGGGAGGGACAAGGCAGGATGGAGAGTTGGGTGGTGGGGGTGTTACTGGAATGTTCTGGAAGGCAGGCCAGAGAGGGCACTTCTTCAGTCTGCCCTCCTCTCGCGCTTTCCACTCCAAGAGGTCGATCCCCCACCTCCAGCTCTCCGATTAGGGGTGCCAGAGGCAGATACCCTCAGGCTGGACGTGCTCCAGGGAGCTATGGGGCTGGGGAGGCTGACCTCGGTGGGCGGTCTCTGATTACTTGGGGCCACCCTCTCCCCTTCCTGGAGAGGAAGAGTCTGGGTCTTGCGGGGCGGAAGTGGCCATAGGGCCCAGTGTCCCGGCCCCGGGTGACCGCATCCTTGCCTCCTCATGCTGTAGTGTTGTCCCTGTTTAGCCCTTTGGAGGGACAGGGCGGGCGGGGGCGTTCAGTTTACTCTGGAGAGCTGTATTTTCGTCTCTTCCTGTCCTGGAGGCCAAGTGCACGCATGCCGGGCTGTGCAAGGCATCGTCGGAGCCAACGTGAACCTGCAAATAAAGCCGAGTGACCAGCCACTGCTGTCATGTGCCACAGTCCTTACTGAGGGTTGCGCGGTCTAGAGCCCCCCCACTCCCCCTCGATACACCAGAACAGCTGTCTGGAAGGTCCAGGGTAGGATCCTACCAGGACTGCACAGCTGGACACTCGCTGTTGATCCAACAGCAAATGGAATCTTAAGCGAACCTCTTTGTTTTAATTTTCCTCTGGGGAGCCAGAAAGTGCCTTCAGCCTGTAGAACACTGTTGGCAGATGCACCCAGGGACTTAACTGGGATCACCTCCTTTTGAGGACAGAGCCCAGCCCTGTGGTTCAAAGATTATCATCCCCCTTGCCCTGGCTCACAGCCTCCCGGCCCCACACATGGATAAGTCTAGGCGGGAGTGTCTGGCGTCTCCTCTTTGTTTTGGGACCACATCTGGCGATGCTGGGGGGTGGGGGGGGTGTTACTCCTGGCTCTGCACTCAGGGATTTCCCCCTGCCCAGCAGTGCTTTGGGGGACCCGTACAGGATCAAACTCAGGTTGGCCACCTGCAAGCAGGCGCCCTACCCACTGTACTATCATTCCGGCCCCTCATCCCTCCTCTTGAGAGAAGACAGGGCCGGGTGGCCCACGAGAGCCCGTCTCCAGGGTGGCCTCTGTTGGGATTTTTGTTTGTTGGTGCCTTCTCTTTCGGCTGGAGCCAGCCTCCATGTTTATGACTAAGGATGTAAGACATCATATTCAAATGTAAATTGGGATTGGGTGTCTTAATCCCCCCTGGATCAGATTCCTGGAATTCGGGAGTGTTCCCGCAGAGTCAAACCTTCCAAACACACTCAGCGAGGAGGAGGCGAGATGATTTCTCTCTTGAGAGAATGGGAAGAAGAGATCCATCTGGTGGAAGGTGGCAGGAGGCATGAGGTTGCTTTCTTATTCACCAGGGTGGTTTAGTAAAAGGAGGGATTATCTTCCTGTTTACGCACGCTGCTCTGTGGTTTGACCAGACGAGAGTGGGAAACATTTTCAGGAACATAATACATCGCCATCTGCTGCTTTCTTCCAACGGGTGTTATCCAGAAGAGTCGGACTGTGCCCTGTCCGACCTCCTGCCTCTACTTCTAAAGGTATTCTGCAGTCTCTGAATTCATCTAGACTAGCATCATCTTCACCTGGGGTCAAGGGGCTTTCTGTGAGTCCTCGGGGTATCCCTGGGGACCACAAGGAAAAAATTCACAAATGGGGGACCATAGGGCTGGAGTGATAGTGCAGCGGGGAGGGTGTTTGCCTTGCACGCAGCTGACCCAGGTTTAATCCCTGGCAGCCCATATGGTCCCCCAAGCACCTCCAGGAATAGTTCCTGAGTGCAGAGCCAGGTGTAAGCCCTGAGCACTGCTGGGTGTTGACCTCAAACAAACAAACAAAAGAAACTCAAACCCCAAACAAACACACTCCTCCTCCCCCCACCAAAAAAAAATCCACCCCAAAAGAACAAACAAACAAACAAAAAACCCTCCCCAATCCCGGTGACTTAAAATAAGAAAAATTTACTTTGTTTTCCTCTGTATGGAGGCAGGAAGTTGAGCATTGTACATCCAGCCAATGAAAGCTTATTTCCCTCCCATGTTAACTGTGTTCAGGGCTTACTTCTGCCTCTGCACTCAGTGAGGGGTCAAGGGACCATATGGGGGTGCTGGGGATTGAACCCAGGTCAGTCATGTGCAAGGCATGCACCCCACCTGCTGTATAACGCAACTCAGGCTCCGCAGTGAAAGCCACTTCCAGGACCTCAACGGAACAAAACCCCATATTCCAACATGATGTTTGGACCCAAGGTGAGAGGAAGTCTGTGTGACCGGCCTGAGGACGAAGAGTGCCGTGGCCACACTGTGCTCCTACTGATGCTCTGGCTCTTCTCGCCTGGCCTGTGCCCACATCTCCATTCACTGCATAGGGTGGGGGCTTTGCAATCAGAGAGCTGGACTTGATGTGGCACCTGTGGCCACACACACACACACACACACACACACACACACACACACTTGTGTACACACACATATACACACACCCCTGTGTCCACACACATACACATATATATACACACCCGTGTCCACACACATCTGTGTCCATACACACACACACACCTATGTCCATATACACACACACCTGTGTCCACACACATACACATACACATATACACACACCTGTGTCCACACATACACATACACACATCTGTGTCCACACATACCTGTATTCCTACACACACATACCTGTGTCTACACACACACACCTGTGTTCATACACACACACCTGTGTCCACACACACATACACACATACCTGTGACTAAACAACATACACACACATACACCCGTCCCCCGACAGGCTTAAAGAAGCAGGATGCAGGGGGTGGAGCGATAGCACAGCGGGTAGGGCGTTTGCCTTGCACACGGCCAACCTGGGTTCGATTCCCAGCATCCCGTAGGGTCCCCCGAGCACTGCCAGGAGTAATTCCTGAGTGCATGAGCCAGGAGTAACCCCTGTGCAAGGCCAGGTGTGACCCAAAAAGCCAAAAAAAATAAAAAAGCAGGATGCAGTGGGTGGGAGGAAGAGGGGGCTGGGCTCAGCAGGACCCAGACAGCAGCAGGGGGAGGTGATGTGGAGTGGTGATGTGGAGGGTGTGAGCGTTACTCGCCTGGGTGAGCCCTGAAGCAGCCTGTTCCAGATGGTAGTTAGGGGCTCATAGTCCCCGACTTCAGGCTGGCTCCCATGCCTTGGATCCACTGCAGGTTTGGGGGCCGGTGAACCTCAAATGTGGGCAGCCTGGTACGGGGCAGCCCGGATAGTGCTTGTCAATATACCCCAGCATTCCAGGGATGCTCACCTGCCCCGTGAATTCATCCCTGGCTGTAACCAGCCCAACTCTAACCCTGGGACCCTGAACGTTCACTCCAGGTTGCGTCTAGTCCCCCCCACAAACAACATTTCCAGATGTCACCAGACCCTCAGGTCACCCAGGCAGGGACATGGACCCTTCTCCAAACACAGCCAGGATTTGGAGGCCGGAGAGAGAGTACAACAGGTAGGCTGCTTGCCTGACACGTGTCCGCCCTGAGTTCGATCTCTGGCATCCCCAAAGATTCCCTGAGCACTGCTGGGAGTGATTCCTGAGTGCAAGGCACTGAGTGTAAGTCCCAAGCACTGCTGGGTGTGGCCCTAAAAAAAAAAACAAAAAACACACAGCCAAGATGAGGCTGTCCCAGGGCCCACGCTTCTCCAAAGGCCCATGCAGGAAGAGCTGAGGAAGAAAAGGCGTCGAACTGGAGTGCCAATGGCCTTGCCCTGTCCGGGGTGGGGAAGTGGGAGGGGAGGGGGCTCTCCTTTGCTCCTAGGGTGCAGAGGCTCTGCTCCCTGCAGTGAACATGACCTCCCAGACCTCCCAGACCTCCCAGTCTTCTCTGGGCTCCGCCTGGCTCTCTGCCTCTTTCCCGGTAACCAACTCCCCATAAACTTCCACCCATAGTGAAGATAATCCAGCATGAGGTCATTTCTCAGAATTCTGCTGTTATTATTACAAAACCAAGGGCTCCCTCTAAGTGCCCCCCCAGAGCTGAGTCAGAGGAGGGCTGGCAGCTCTGTCAGAGTGAGGTTCTCTCTCATCCAGATGTGAAGACCCACATGCACGGACTCAGCCCTAGCGCCCACCTCCAGGTCCCCAGCTCTCTGCTGGCCAGGGGCTGGGTCAGGGACACTTAGGCCAGTTCTGGATCGGAGAGACGTCTCAGGAAGGCAGAAGTCTCAGGACGAGGGGCCACCTGCCCTGCCCTGCCCTGCAGGCACATAGGACCCCCCACCGGCAAGACAAGTGGGGATCTGACTCCCCCTCCAGCTGCTATTTTTACCAAGGGCTTCACCACGTTTCCATGTAGGGGATGTCTGATACCAGCCCAGATCCCTTGTCCTGTGTGTGTGTGTGTACTGTGTGTACAAGCGCCCTACAACAACACCGTTTTATTTATTCTAGCGTGGAGGAGGTGAGCAACCCCTGGGGGCGGCCAGTCACAGGCCTTTAGCAACACAGGCAAAAACCTAAATTAAAAAAAAAGAAGAAGAAGAAAAAGAAAAAAGCCATTCTCCACTTCCAACATCCCCGAAAGGAGCTACCCAGGTCCGCTGTGGTTTGGCTTCCTGTGACGGCTCCTAACCACTGCCCAATGGCCCCAGTAAGCACTTCCTGTCCTGCCCATAGGCCAGTTGGGTAGTGCACAGCTCACGGTTCACACCAAAGGCCCTTGCAGGACCAAACTCGAGGGGTCAGAGCTATAGCAGGGCAGGGAGGGTGCTTGCCTTGCATGCGGCCAACCCAGGCTGGTTCCCTCGCGTCCCCGGTGGTCCCTGGAGCATCGTCGGGAGTGATCCCTGAGTACAGAGCCAGGAGTAGGCCTGAAACACCACCGGGTGTGGCCCAGAAAAAAACCAAAAACAAAAACAAAAAAAAAGCAGGCAGGAGGAAGCAAACGAAGTGTAGTGGCCAGATGAGCTTTGGAACAAGCTGGCCGACGGACAGTGAGGCAGGGTCAGCCTGAGCTGGAACAGGCCTCCTGGGGAGAAGAGGACTAAAGGCTGCCAATGCTGTCCAGAGGAATGTGCTTCTGGGTCCCAGCCGAGGTATGGCTCTCCCTGTCCAGCGCATGGGCTGAGCAGATGAAGAGCCGGTGGCCTCCAGCATGGGGTGTCAGGAGATGAGGAACGGGGTAAAATCGGAGTGACCTTAGATCACGATCAAGATCATCTTGTTGTTCGTCAATTGCCTCGAGCAGGCACCAGTAACGTCTCCTTCTTCCTAGCCCTGAGATTTTAAAGAGCCATATTCAATGTTCTTTCGGGGCTAGGAGAACGAGATCTATCATTGTTACTAGTACTTGGCATACTGGGTACAACACGGGAGGTTTGCCAGACTCTGCCGTGCGGGCAGGATACTGTTGGTAGCCTGCCGGATTCTCCAGAGTAAAAACAAGACCTCAGTAGACCTTAGACCTCAGTAGACTAAAATGCTATTTCAACCGGAGGGCCTTTCAGGGGGCAGAGGGATGGACCCCTGGCTGAAAGTGCAATGCTTTCAATGGAGGAGATCCAGGTTCCACAACTCAACACTGCCTGGTCCCCCCAAGTATTACCAGGAGGAACTGGGAGAAGCCCCTGAGCACTTCTGGGTATGGCACAAAAAGCAAAACAGAGAAGATATTAGAGCAGGTGAGACTCTGGCCTGGCACGCAACTGACCAGGGTTCAACCCCCACCATCACCGCCCATGGTTCCCTGAGTCCAACCAGGAGTGACCCCTGAGCACAGAACAAGGAGTAAACCCTGAGCATCGCCGGGTTTGTGTATTCCACCTCCCCAAACACAATAAACAAGAAACAAAGCTTTTCTTTTTTTTTAAATTAAATTTTTAAACTGAGTCACTGTGAGATTCCTAGTTTCAAAGCTGTTCATGATCAGGTTTCAGTCATATAATGATCCCACCTCCATCCCTCCAAGGAGAAAAAGCTTTTCAAAGGTATAAATATTTTGCTGCTGGTGGTGGTGGTGAGTAACCTTCCTTCAGGAGAGTCCCAAAACTTCGTGAGTATCCACCCTGCCACGCATCTGTATGTTTTACTGTTTTCTGAGCCAGCCCCGGGGATTATTCACGGCCCTTAACACTTCCTCTGGTCTCCTGCCAGCTACCTCCTTGCGGATTCCCATCAGTGAGGGGTCCGGAAGGTTCGGAGCAGACCATGGGGGCAGGGCAGGACCACAGCCCCTGCCGCTCACAACAGAGGGATGAAAGCAACAACTCGAACCCCCAGACAAATGCTTCCTTATCTGCATCACCTGCTTCCGGGAGGTGGGTTTGTGGGTCTCCAGGCCAGGGAACCTTTTCCTTGCTCCCCCAGGCCTGGTGCTTCTTGGCCAGGCCGCTGTGGAGAGAAGCAGGGGTCGGGGAGCTCCCTGGACCAGGCGTGGCCATCTGGGACTCCCTCCAGGCACCTGGCGCGCGTGTAGTCAGCTCCGCCCCGCCGCGACGTCCACCAGCTTCTGGATCATGTGGGCATGAGTGTCGTGGAAGGGCAGTCCATCCACCACCATGCCCACTTCGCCCGTCACCCCACTCCGGACCTGGTGCCGTGCCAGGATCCCCAGCATCTTCTCTTCCTGCAGACAGACGGGGCAGAGAGAGGAGCAGCGCTGGGCGCAGGAAGAGAACCGTCCACGGCGCGGAGAACCGGGAGTTGATCTGCAAACTCCCTCCCTCTCCTTTTTTGGTTCTGGGGCTACATCTGGGGGACCATGTGGTGCCAGGGGTGGAAGTTTGGGCAACTACCTATAGAGCATACACTCCGGCCCTTTCAGACATTTTTCTAATCCCTCAATCTGCTTTCTCTCTCTCTCTCTCTATTTTTTTTTTTCTTTTTTTGGTCACACCCAGCAATGCTCAGGGGTAACTCCTGGCTTTGCGCTCAGGAATTACTCCTGGTGGTGCTGGGGGACCTTTGGGACGCTGGGAATCGAACCCAGGTTGGCCATGTGCTCTATCCGCTGTGCTATCACTCCGGCCCCTCAACCTGCTCTCTTAAAAAACTAAAACTAGGGGGTCCAGAGTGATAGTACAGTGGGGGGGGGGGGGGCGTTTGTCTTGCAAGTGGCTGGTCCAGGTTAGATCCCTGACTTCCCCCGTGGTCCCCTAAGCACAACCGCCAGGAGTAATTCCTGAACACAGAGCCAGGAGTAAGCCCCAAACATTGATTGGGTGTAACCCCCGAAACCAACCCCGCAAACCATAAAACTAGAATTAGAGGAGCTGGAGAGATAGTTCAGCAGGTAAGGCACATGGTGACCTGGATTTAACCCCCGGCATCCTGTATGGTCCCCTGAGCACCACCAGGGGTAATTCTCTGAGTGCAGAGCCAGGAGTAACCCCTGAGCATCGCCAGGTGTGGTCCAAAACCCCTTCCCTCCAAAAAAAAAAAAACCACCACTAGAGCTCTCAGAGAAGAGAGGGGAAGAAAGGGAGAGAGAGAGAGAGAGAGAGAGAGAGAGAGAGAGAGAGAGAGAGAGAGAGAGAGAGAGAGAGAGGACAGAGAGGGGAGAGAGTGAAGGGAGAAAAGAGAGGGAAAGAGAAACAGGGAGGGGAGAGGAGGGAGAGAGAATGGGGGGAGAGAGAGAAGAGAGAGAGGAGGGAAGAGAGGGAGAGAGAAAGGGGTAGGGGAGTGGAGAGAGAGAGAGAGAAAGAGAGAGAGCACTCAATGGACTAAGCTGGAGCACGTGCTCTGCATGTTGGTGGCCTGGGTTCATCCCCACCTAAGCATTGCTGATGTGACCCATCCCTGCTTCCCCCAAGTACTAATGCCACAGGAAGACACCCTGAAACACAGCAGCACACTGCAAGGCCCCGAGCCCCCTCCCCCAAATCAGCCACCTGGACCCTTTGGGGCTCTTCTCCCTGGCCATCACCTCCATGGAACTACACCTGGAGCCGTCTCTCCTTGTGCTGGCCCAGTGGATGTCGCTGCTTCCTGTCCACCTAGCCCCTGCCCAATCTGGATGTCCCCTCCCTGGCAGCGTCCTGTGCAGGCGCACCTGCTGCCCCCTAGGGTCACTCATTGTGGGAATGGGGGGGTCTGGACCGGGCAGCTCCAGCCTGGGGTCAGGCGGCTGGCCTTGGGGGCTTTCCTACACGCTCCAATACCTCAGTGTCTTGGTGGTCTCATATGTAAAAGGGAATGTGGATGATGACCATGATGACAATTATTACTATGTCTCCTTTGCTTTTTTTTTTTTTTTCTTGAGCCACACCTGGTGGTGCTCAGGGCTTCCTTCTGGCTCTGTGCCCAGGGGTCCCTCCTGGCAGGCCTGGGCAGACCATATATGATGTTGGGGAATAAACCTGGGTGGGATGCATGAAAGGCAGGCACCCTCCCCACATACCATCGCTCCGGCCCCATAATTCCTCCTTTAGAGAGTTGTCATACAGACAAAATTAGGCAAAGCCAGCAGAGCATGGGGCACGGTCTTAGGTTCAGAGACCACGAAATGAGGCTAATGATTATTGGAGGCCAGGTCCCTGGCCTTTAGCCCAGAACTTTCTTCCTTTGGCTTGTTGATTGTTTTCGAGAAATAATTTGATTCGCTTCCAAAAAATAAAGATGCCAAAGAACCACTTGGCTAAGGCACTAATATATCTGCCCCAGTTGAGGGCTCCTGTGTATCCAACAAATCCTCCCTCCCCCTCCAAGCAAAGGAGGTGCTCTCCCCCCACCCCCCAACCCTGCTGGACATCGGAAGACAAGACAGGTGTGAGAGGGACCCACTTCCCAGCACCGGCTCATTCCTCTGACTGGTGCCCCCAGCTGCTCTGCAACAGTCCTGCAAGGGGGCTCCCGCCCTGCCCCCCACGACCCCAGTCAGTAGAGGATCCCACAGACGCTGTCCAGGGGGCCGCAACCCAGAGCAGGGGACATGGGGGGCACTGAGCACAGGTGTCGCTGGGAGGAGTGAGTCCAAGGGGGCACTGAGGATGGCCCCCGAGAGACCTTCCCGAACAATGGAGCTCTCACTGCGGGCGTCTCTGTTCCCAGCTGGCCCACGTCCACCCTGCCTTGGGCACAAAGAGCCTTGCCAGGGGAGCTCTGTCCACTGGCCCTTCCCAGGGGCTGCCCGGTCAGGAGCGGCACTTCCAACCCTTTGTCTGGGCTCCATGCTCCTTCCTCTGTTCCACTGGGTCACATCCTCTCTTTATGGAGGAATGCTTCTGGGACTGAGCGGCCGCTTCCTCCAGCCTGGGCGGCCCCACCACCCGCATCCTCTGCGTCCCACAAAAGGGCTCTTGGGTCCTCAGGGTGCGCGTCATGCGCCAGCAGTCTGGGAACTGGTGGGTTCCCAGCCCAAGAGCCACAGACACAGACGGGCCAATAGCCACCACCTGCTGACCGCCAAGAATCACCCAAGGACGATACCATCTCTAGAGGGTCCCATGGAGGCTAGGAGGCCCACAGGAGGAGGTTGGTCAAGGAGCACTGGAGGAAGAGCATCTGAATGTTGCTTTACTAGACCTGGTCAAGAGTGAGGCAGGAGAGAAAGAGAGAGATGGAGGATGGACTCAAGGCAGAGTGGACAGAACAAGGCTCTTAGCTGAAGGGAAACAGGGAAGGAGACCTCCAGGATGGCATCAGGGCTGGGCTGAGGGCTGAGGGCGGCTGTGGACTCACTCTGGAAGCCTGAGGGCTGGTCTTGATGGTGATGATGCAGTTCCAAGTGTGTGTGGTGGGGTGGTTGGAACTGCTCTGGTCATGGTCTTGGTGAGGATTGAACAGCTATCAGTTCATCCCACTGCACACTTAGATCTATGCATTCTATGAGAGTTAGTCCTCCAATTTTTGAAAGAAAATTATTATTATTTTTTGTGTGTGTGTCACACCCGGCAGTGATCAGGGGTTACTCCTGGCTCTGCACTCAGGAATTACTCCTGGTGGTGCTCGGGGGACCCTATGGGATGCTGGGAATCGAACCTGGGTTGGCTGCGTCCAAGGCAAACGCCCTACCCGCTGTGCTATCACTCCATCCCCCTGAAAGAAAATTATTATTATTATTATTATTTTGCTTTTTGGGTCACACCCGGCGATGCACAGGGGTCACTCCTGGCTCTGCACTCAGGAATTACCCCTGGCGGTGCTCAGGGGACCATATGGGATGCTGGGAATTGAACCCGGGTCGGCTGCATGCAAGGCAAACGCCCTACCTGCTTTTCTATCACTCCAGCCTCAAGAAAATTATTTTAAAAGTGGGATAGGATGGGCTGGAGCGATAGCACAGCGGGTAGGGCGTTTGCCTTGCACGCAGCCAACATGGCCAACACAGGTTCGATTCCCAGCATCCCATATGGTCCCCCGAGCACCGCCAGGAGTGATTCCTGAGTGCATGAGCCAGGAGTAACCCCTAAGCATCGCCGGGTGTGACCCAAAAAGCAAAAAAAAAAAAAAAGTGGGATAGGATGAAGATGCTGGACGAGAATGAGAGCCCATATTCCTTCCTGTCTATACATCAACCAACCACACACACCCATCTCTCTAACATCTGTCTATTATCCATCCATCAATCATCCATCCAGCATCCAGCCATTCACCATCATCCCTCTATCTTTCTATCCATCATCCATCCATCAAATGTCTATATCTCACCACAATGAGAGATGATAATCTCCCCATTGTCGATCCACCCATCATCCTGCCCTGAGACAGTCTTCTGGCCAGCATGAAGCTTGCCTCTCCCCAGTTGTCCCCACCCTTTCTGTGTACCCCCATTTCTTCTTGGTTCACTGCCTCCAGCCCCCAGAAGCCCCTACTCCTCAGCACCGTGGGGGTGGCTGACTATCCCGCCACAACCTGGGCTGTGAACCCCAAGAAGGACACCATGGTCACTAGTCTTTTGCCCCCCATGCATGAGCTGGGCATTCAGCCCCTACCACGGTGCTAGCGGTGCCCAATTCACAGAGAGTCTCAGGGGGATCAGAAAGAGGGAGCCGCGGTCCTGGGGAGGGCCAGGCGGGAGAAGGCCTTCCCCTCTGCCCTCTGCCCTGATCACAGCAGGTCAAGGGTCACCCACTCCTGGGTCTGGGCACGTTTGGACCTCAACCGTGCTCAAGACCCCTGACTTCCGGGGTGGGTGGGGATCCTGCAGGGGTCACTACCTTAGTGACGGAGGGCAGGGCCCGAGTCCAGCTCTGCTCCCCAGCGTCCTTGGGGGGCCCGATGGCCTTCCTCTGGTAGCATCTGTGGATGGCACAGCTGTTGAGGACATAGAGTGCACAGGCCAAGGCATAGCCCCCCCAGTTGGAAACACCTGGAACGGGAGAGAGGCATCATGGGATTAGAAGCGGTCACATGCCCACCACCTGGCCCTGAAGCTGCAGAACTTTATTTTTTTTGAGGGGGGTGTCACACCCAGCGATGCACAGGTGTTACTCCTGGATCTGCACTCAGGAATTACCCCTGGCGGTGCTCAGGGGACCATATGGGATGCTGGGAATTGAACCTGGGTCAGCCTCATGCAAGGCAAACGCCCTACCCGCTGTGCTATTGCTCCAGCCCCAGAACTTATTCTTTTGGTGGGGGTCCCAGTTTGTCACCTGGCCACCTGCTCTGGACACAGGTTGTTGGGAGTCGGCGAGCTGAGTTTCGTTTCTTTTTTTCCCTCAATGTAGGTTTATTTGTTATTGTAGCATTTTGTTCTGAACATCAAACATAGCACCAAACTATAAATCACTTATTTTATTTTTTCTTTTTTTTTGGGGGGGGGGTCACACCTGGCAGTGCTAAGGGGTTACTCCTGGCTTTGTACTCAGGAATCACTCCTGGCAAGCTCGGGAGACCCTATAGGGTACGGGAATTAAACCTGGGTTGGCTGTAGGCAAGGCAAGTGCCTTACCCACTGTACTATTGCTCCAGCCCTCCCCGCCCCCCCGCCACAATTTTTTGAATGAATTTAGGAGAAGTAGTTTACAAAACTGTTACTGGTAGAGTTTCATACATGAACCGTCCCAGCATCAGACACCCTACCAGAGTGTCCAACCCTCCACCATTGTCCCAGTGCCCCTCCTTCCCCCCATGGTAAACTTCCTGCAGAAAACTGGTTCTCACTTTCTGTTGGTTTTGGTCATTTGTTATTCAACCACTGTTTCTTTATATGCCACAAATAAAAAGATCATTCTGCGCCTGTCTCTCCCGACTGACTTCACTCAACACGACAGATTCAAGATCCATCCATGAAACAGCAAATCACACAATTTCATCTTTTCTCAAAGCCACGTAGTATTCCATGTGTAGTAGAAGTACCGTAGTTTCTTTCCAGTCAGCTGTTTGTAAGCACTTGGGCTATTTCCAGATTTAGCTACTGTGAATAGTTTTGCAATGAACGTCAGAGTATAAATGTCTTCTGAATGGAGTTTTTAGGTCCTTGGAGTATAGACTACTCTATAAAAAATTTTTAGACTACACCTAGCAATGCTCACGGGTTATTTCTGGCTCTGCACTCAGGAATCATTCCTGGTGGTGCTCAGGGGATGCTATGGGGTGCTGGATATCAAATCCAGGTTGGCAACAAGCATCCTACCTGTTGTAATATTGCTCCGACCCCTGGAGTGTGTGTATATGTGTGTGTGTGAGTGTGTATGTCCCTGGAGTGTGTGTGTGTGTCCCTGGACTGTGTGTGTATCCTTGGGGGTATGTGTGTGTGTGTCCCTGGAGTGTGTGTATGTTCTTGGAGTATATATGTGTGTCCCTAGAGTATGCATGTGTGTCTTTGGTGTGTGTGTGTATGCCTTCACAGAGTGTGTATATATATCCCTAGAGTGTGTATGTGTCTCCATGGAGTGTGTATGTGTGTCCCTAGAATGTGTATGTGTGTCTTTGGTGTGTGTGTGTGTGTGTGTGTCTCCCTGGAATGTGTGTGGTGTGTGTGTGCCCCTGAAGTGTGTGTGTGTGCCTGGAGTGTGTGTTTGTGTCCCTGGAGTGTGTGTGTGTCCCTGGAGTGTATGCACGTGTGTATGTGTGTGTGTGTGTGTCGGGGCCCCCAGTCTGTCTCCAGCCCTGAGGGGAACTTGCAGCAGGGCCTGAATCCAACAGAGCTCGGACACAGATTGTGTGGGAGGCTGGTGGGGGGGACGGACAGAACCAGGCCCTCGTGGCCTTAGAGCTTCCCGACCCGCTCAGAGGGGATGTGCCCATCCCATCCGACCACACTCACCAGCGATGACGGCCGAGTCGGCCGCCACATCACAGGCGATGACGTCCCCGTTGCGGATGTGCCTCTTCACGGCCTCCTTCACTTTGCCCATTCCCAGCTCGTTGCCTCCGTCTCCAACCCCTGGACCGAGGGAACTGTGTCAGTCTATGGGATGGGAAAAACAGGTGCGGGGACAGGGCAGCCCTCCAGAAGTGCCTCGCAGCATCACGAAGGGGAACAGGGCTGTCTGTCTCCGGATATCTTCTCAGGCCACCAAGAGATGTAGCAATGACCTGACAACTTTCAGGTGTTCCAGAAAGTTCTCCAGTATGAAAAAAAAAAAAAGCAGTTGCTCTTTCAGAACACACCAGAAAGTGGGCATGTTGGGGCCAGAGCAATAGTACAGCGGGTAGAGCGTTTGCCTTGCATGTAACTGATCCAGGTTTGATTCTGCACCCCGTATGGTCCCATGAGCACCGCCAGGAGTGATTCCTGAGTGCAGAGCCAGGAGTAAGCCCTGAGCATCGCTAGTGTGGCCCAAAACCAAAGATGGGGGGGCCTTTTTCGCAGAGGTGCCAGGCTCACAGGAGACACATTCCGGGAGTCCTCGGGCCTCCCCTATGGTGGCTTCTACCTCAGAGAGGGGCTCCAGGGCCCTCGGCCCATCTGTAACTGGATGTCATTTGCTGGCAGAGGATGGCGGAATAGATTGCTTTTTGTTTGGGGGACCGCGCCCGGCGGTGCTCAGGGCTGACTCCTTGCTCTACACTCAGGGTTCACTCCTGGAAGGGCTCAGGGGACTGCATGCGGTGTCGAACCGGGGTTGGCTGTGTGCGAGGCACATGCTGTCCCCGCTGCACCATTGCTCCTGAGGTGGACAGACGGTAAGAGCAGCGCTGAGATGCCTTCCAAGGCTCGCAGGTGGAGCATGGGACGGTTGCAAAGTATTCATGGGATTGGAGCGATAGCACAGCGTGTAGGGCGTTTGCCTTGCACGTGGTCGACTTGGGTTCGATTCCCAGCTTCCCATATGGTCCCTCGAGCACTGCCAGGAGTAATTCCTGAGTGCAGAGCCAGGAGTAACCCCTGAGCATTGCTGAGTGTGACCCAAAATAAAAAAAAAAAGCAAAAAAGAAAAAAAAAAAGCCTTCTCTCATTTCAGTCCATGCCAGAAGGGAGCTCAGAAGTCCCTTCATGGGCAACGCAGACTCAGGGGCAGGGGAGCTTTGCGATTCCCTGCTGAGACCTCAACCTGGACAGGCTGCGCCAGAGGGTACTTGTGGCCGTGATGAATATGTCTGAAGGTGAGAAATGGTAGAACGAGCCGGAGAGACACGTTCTTTGGCATTTTAACATTTTGTTCATTTTCTCTGGATCCCTCCAGGGGTCTGCCCTGGTCTTGAGGTCACTTTTCAGGGTCTTGGATGGTGGCAGTACCCGGCAGCGTGTTGGGGCTTGTGTCCTCTGGTAGGCATGGGCTGGGGACCAGGACTTTGGGGGTGTGGTGAGCGGCGGTGGAGAAGGAACACGTGGGAGGGTGAGGACACTGGCACAGCCCGCGGGGGTGGGTCTGGGCTCCTGAGGCCAGGCCAGGCTCCAGGCTCTGTGACGGGCATGGTGTGACCTTGCCAAGTGTCCCCTGCTTCCTCCAAGGCCTTGGGGGCATCCTGGACACAGATGGGGGCCTGAGTATACGTGCTTGGGCAGCTCCCTGGGGCACGGCCCACCCTCTGGTTAGGGACCCCTTCCAACTCCACCCTGGACGAGCCTCCCGCCGGCGCAGGACCCTGGGGTCCACTTCAGGAAGCCGCGGAGCCACACCCAAGACCTTTTCTGGGAAGGACGTCATTCGCGGACACTTCCCCTAAGCCCAAGAGCTGCGTCTTTTCTCCTTTTCTCATCGGAACCTCAAAAGCCAGAGGCCGCTAATGAGTCTGGGAATCCTGCGGCCCTGAAGGAGCCTGTCCCCCAAGGGCTCTGCCCTCCGACCCTGGGGGAGCAGGGCTGCTCCAGGGGGGCTCTACACAACCCTGCACAGGAAGGCTCCTGGGAGACTGCGTCTTGCAACCCCAAGTAGCTGAGCCCCTCAAACCCTCCCTGGGCCCCCATTCCTGGGACAGGACTGCCTCCCACTGGGTTTTATTTAATTGATTTGTATTTTTTGTTTTCTATTGGTGTTTTTTTTTTTTTTGCTTTTTGGGTCACACCTGGCGATGCACAGAGGTTATTCCTGGCTCATGCACCCAGGAATTACTCCTGGCAGTGCTCGGGGGACCATATGGGATGCTGGGAATCGAACCCGGGTCGGCTGCGTGCAAGGCAAATACCCTACCCGCTGTGCTATCGCTCCAGCCCCTGTTTTCTATTGTATTTTTATTTTTATTTTTTTTGAAATCAATAGATTTTATTTGGAGGGTTTTTAAGGTGTGGAGGGGGAGAGAGTGAGAGAGAGAGTGAGTAACGTACTCAAGAGAGAACACGGGCTTCTCCATGGGTGGAGAGAGCCCCTACACACATCCTAGCATTAGGCATAAAAGCACGAAAGTACACATCTCAAGAGGGGAGATGCGGGCGACACATGTGCTTGGGCACCACATGTCTTCGGCCACGTGGGCACAAGCAGCACATGGGCTATGGCAGCCTATGCGCCTTCTATTTTATTTGACCCATCTTTCCAAGTGGTCTTCAAGGCAGGGCCTGCCCCCTCCCCCGCGATACTTAGCTAACTGGGGGTGCAGTGCTCGGGCCTGCGGATGAGGTGCCAGGGGCTCAGGAGACCACGTGGTGTCAGGATTGAACCTGGGTCAGGCAATTCCCTCCTGGGCAGGCACCCTAGCCCCTGTCTTCTCTCCTGGCCCCACTCCTAGGGCTTTTCTCCTTGGGGGCCAATTCTGACAGTGCTCAGGGCTTAGTCATGGCTCTGCACTCAGATATCACTCCCGGCAGTGCTGGGAAGTCTTATGGGATGTCAGGGCTGGAACCTTGTACCAGGCAGGTACAAGGCGCATGCCTTACCATCCATACTATCTCTCCAGCCTCCGCTCCTAAATTAATTTTTTGGTTTGGGGGCCACACTCAGCAGTGCTCAGGGCTTTACTCCAGCCTCTGTGCTCAGGGACCACTCCTGGCAGTGCTTGGAGGACCATATGGGATGCCAGGGCTGGTGACGTGCAAGAGAAGTGCCTCTCCATGGTACTATTTCTCCAGTGTTCATTCCTCGAGAGTTAAATCAGTTTAAGCAAGTCAGTGGCTGTGAGCCCTTCTGGTGGTCATGTACCAACACAGAGTTTTGGGGCTGGAGAGGCTATCCAGCAGGGAGGGCTTTTGCCTTGCATGATGCTATTCCCAGTTCAATCTCCAGCTTCTCGTATGGTCCCCTGAACACCACCAGGAATGTTTTTTTCTTTTATTTTCTTTTTGGGTCACACCCAGCGATGCTCAGGAGTCACTCCTGGCTCTGCATTCAGGAATTACTCCTGGTGGTGCTGGGGGACCATATGGGATGCTGGGAATCGAACCCGAGTCGGTTGCATGCAAGGCAAACACCCTATCCATTGTGCTATCACTTCAGCCCCCCCCCCCCCCCCCCCGCCCCGGAGTGATTTCTGAGTGCGGAGTCAGGATAACCCTTGAGCATTGTTAGATGTGCTCTCTGCCCCACCGCCCAAAATAAACCCCACAAAACTCCAAAGCTCACAAGCCCTTCCATGGTAACTCTTCAAACTACTGCACCAATCACAATCCCATGGCACACAGGGGCTGTGGGCATCATCCAAGCCGCCTGGTTTTTTAACATTTTTTGAAATTTTTTTATTAGTGAAACACCATGAGGTGCAGTTATAGACTTATAAATTTTTGTGCTTGGGTTTCAGTTATACAATGATCAAGTACCCATCCCTCCACCAGTGCCCATCCTCCACCACCACGGGTCCCAGCATCCCTCCCATCCCCCATCCCCCCCCCCCCCCCCCCCCCCCCGTCCCAGGGCATTTCCCCTTGTTCTCTCTCTCTTCTTTTGGGTACTGTGTTTTGCAAGAGAGGCATTGAGTGGCAATCATGTTTGGTCTATAGACTACTTTCAGCATGCTTCTCCCACCCTGGGAGGGTCCTCACAACACCCTTTATTTGGTGCTCTCTTCTCTATCTGAGCTTCCCTTTCACCAGCACGTGTGGCTGGCCTCCAAGTCATGGAGCAAAATTCCTGGTACTAATCTCGACCACTCCTGGGTGTTAGTCTCCCATTTTGTTGCTTTATGTTCCCCAGATGAATGCAATCTCTCTATGTCCATCCCGCTCTTTCTGACTCATTTTGCTTAACATGATACTTTCCATGTAGTACCACTTGAATGTAAATTTCATAACTTCATCTTTTCTAACAGCTACATAGTACTCCATTGTGTAAATGTACCAGGGTTTCTTTAACCAGTCATCTGTTCTCGGGCACTCACAAGCCGCCTGGTTTTGATGGTGCCTGTTGCACTGGGTGGAGCGGGTGGTTGTGGTGCCAAGTTTAGTGTCACTTCCCTTCCTCACTCACGGGAACCTCAGAGGCTGCGTAGGGAGTGGGACACAGTGGTCCTTGGTCCCGCTTTTCTGTCTTGTGGCCGCAGCCCCTGAGAACGTGCCCAAGTCTCGCAGTCCCCGGCTTACCGGTGGATGAGATCCCAGGAATCGTCTGTGCAGCCAGGAAAAGGTCGTCGATGGGGTCCACCAGGTGCCTGATGTTCATCTTCCTCGCATTATAGTAGTTACCATCGGCTGCCCTCCCAGATCGCTCGATGGCCACCAGGTGATCGAACCTGCCGGGAGTGAGGGTGCTGTGTCCTCATGGGGCTGCCCTCTGGGCCAGCCGGAAGAACCTGCCTCTCTTTTTTTGTTTTGTTTTGTTTTCTTTTTTGGGAGGGCACACCCAGTGATGCTCAGGGCTGACTCCTGGCTCTGCACTCAGGAATTACTCCTGGCAGTGCTCGGGGGATCCTATGGGATGCTGGGGATTGAACCCAGGTTGGCCACATGCAAGACAAATCCGCTATACTATGGCTCCAGCCCTGAACCTACGTCTCTTAAGTCTTTCCTTCCAATGGATCTTGGCAAATTGCCTGCTGTATGCCAGTTATAAAATCCAGATCCCGGAACCGTGCGGCCGCATTCGCGGCCGCGCGACATCTTATCAGAACTTTTTTTTATGACATCTTATTGTCTCATTCCTACTTTGGACAAACTTGCAGGCTATCGAATATAGCCTGCCCACAGGGCAGAGTCTGGCAAACTCCCCGTGGCGTACCAAATATGCCAAATACCAGTAACAATGATGGGTCTCATTCTCCTAAATAGCCTTGAATATAATCTCAGGGCTAGGATGAAAGAGACGTTACTGGGGCCTGCTCGAGGCAATCGATGAATAACAGGATGATGAAATGAAAATGAAATGAAATGATGCCGGTGCCGTGGGCTCATCTATCAGACCAGTTCAAGAGACAGCCTGGGGGGGCCCAGGGACTGGCTCAAAGGCTTGGAGCACAGGCGCTGCATGTGGGAGCTCCCGCATTGATCCTCAGCACCACGTAATCCTCCAAGGACCGCTAAGAGCAACCCCAGAGCACTGATCCGGGAGTACTCAATGAGCAGCACCAGGTATAGCTGAACAAGCAAACAAATATGGAGCGGGGGTGGTATGGGGTTGGGTGGGACGGACGCTGGTGGGCACTTTGGTGTTGGAACGGTTGTGCATATGAAACTCTATGATTAACACTATTGAAAACCCTTGTACCGCAAATAAAAACCTTAAAATTAATTTTTTAAAGAAAGAACTTGCAGAAGAAAGAATGAAACAGGAGACCCCTGTAGGCCCACCTCCACAGCGCAGACCCTCTGCCTGTTCCTCCAGGCCTCCAGGTGAGGTTGAACCTCCCTGCTTTGGAACAGGAAGCTGGTTCCCCTCCTTTCAGCTGGGTTCCCCAAGCCTCCACACCACACCCACTCCCCCCGCCCTCTCAGCAGCCCAGCACCACACACCTGGAACCCACACACCCAGAACATCTCACCCCGCTCACACTGATACTTCCTGTTTCTAGGTGAAGACGGGCAAGGCAGGGGTTAGGGGCGCCGGAAGTGCAGAACCAGCTTAATCTCCCAGAGACTCCCAGAGGGTCTATCTGCCAAGATTCACCCCCAGCACAGCAACAGCTTTGCAGAATCAATGGGGACGTGTCCACAAGCCCACCTAGTCAGTGAACATAATGACACAAATGCTCTCACAACACCAGCCAGCTCTGTATAAGCTCCCAGAACGACTTTAGGGACATCAGAGGGAGGAGGTTTAATGAGCCCAAAGAAACGATGGCACAGGTGGTCAGCAAGGCACAAGACAGTATGAGAGGTGGTGGGAAATGGACACAGGTGGAGGGATGGGTGTTGGAACATTATATCACTGGAACCTGACCATGAGCAACTTTGTAACTGTGTATCTCACTGTGATTCAATTGAAAAAAAAAAAACAAAGAAAAAAGAGAGTATCAGAGTGACAACGAGAAAAGTACAATCAGAAGTGACAGAAATGAAGAGTATGACACGAGATGTAAAATACCCAACAGAAGCTCAGAGCAGTGGAATCACAATGACTCAGGAAAAAGATCAGTGAGTCCCACAAGAGATGCAGGAAACCCCTAAAAAAAAACAGACGATAGGTGGCCAGAGCGATTGTGGAACGGGCAGGGCATCTGTCTTGTGCTTTGCTGACCCGGGTTTGATCCCCAGCATCCCATATGGTTCACCGAGCACTGCCAGGAGTGATTCCAGAGTCAGGAGTAACCCACTGAGCATCGCTGGGTGTGACCCCCCCCCCCAAAACCAAACCAAATCAAAACAAAAACAACAGAAAAAAGTCTAAAAAGAAATAAACAGCCATCAGAGAAGTATGGGGTGAGGTAAAGAGGAACAATAAAACTTATCAGTGACCCTCAAGAAAAGGAAGGCAAATCTGATGAAGAACTTTAAGTTGTAGAAATGATAGACGAGAATTTCCCAGAGTTGAGGAGTGCAAACACCCAGATCCAAGAGGCATGAAGATCTCTAAAAGGACAAAAAAAAAAAAAACCTATTCTACAGACTCAAATAGAAAAACTCCAATATACTTTATAATCTGAATGGCAAATGCCAAAGATGGAGACAGAATACTTTTTTGTTTTTTGGGTCACACCTGGTGATACACAGGGGTTACTCCTGGCTCTGCACTCAGGAATTACTCCTGGAAGTGCTCAGGGGACTATATGGGATGCTGGGAATCAAACCTGGGTCAGCCATGTGCAAGGCAAATGCCCTACCCGCTGTGCTATCGATCCAGCCCCGAGACAGAATACTTTTTGACAGCAAGATCAAAAAAGGAACTTAACTATAAAGGAAAGCCCGTAAGAGTCACAGAAAATCTATCAGAGGCTGAGAGCCAAAGGGAATGCTGAGATATAGCAAAAACCAACCAGCCAACCAACCTTGGTGAAGTGAACCCCTCCAAGAACACTCTATTCAGCTAAATTATCATGCAGGGAACAATACAGGGCTTCATCAACAGGCAACAGTTTAGGGAATTCATAGCCATGAAACCAGCTTTACAAGAAAAACTAAAGGAGTTCCTTTAAGAAACAAATCTTGGGATGTGTGACAGTCCAGTAAGGAGGGTACCTGCCTTGCAGATGGTCAACTCAGGTTTGATCCCCACCACCCCATATAGTCCCCTGAGCACCACCAGGAGTAAATCCTGACTGCAGACCAGGATTAACATGTGAGCATTGTCAGATGTGGCCCAAAAGCCACTGTAACACTCTCCTCCTGTTGTTCATCGATTTGCTTGAGCGGATACCAGCAACGTCTCCACTGTGAGACTTGTTTCTGTTTTTGGCAGACTGAATATGCCATGGGAAGCTTGCCAGACTCTGCTGTGCGGGCGGGATACTCTTGGTAGCTTGCTGGGCTCTCTGAGAGGGACGGAGGAATTGAACCCGGGTCGGCCGCGTGCAAGGCAAATGCCCTACCTGCTGTGCTATCGCTTCAGCCCTGTTGGGGGATGTAGCTCAGTGGAGAGCACGTACTTTGCCCCCAAAACCAAAAACCAAAAAGCCAAAAAAACAAAACAGAACATAAAAAAAACCCAAAACAAAAAACCAAACCTCTTAGCACTTTGCCACTGAGTATGGCATTTACTCCGGGTGCTTATGGTTGCCCTTGACTAGCTTAAGAAATGCCTGCTGCTCTTCCTTCTCCTTCTCCTTCTTTCTTCTCCTTCTCCTCCTCCTCCTTCCTTCTGCTCTTCCTCTTCCTCCTTCCTTCTGCTCTTCCTCTTCCTCCTCCTTCCTCTTCCTCCTTCCTTTTCCTCCTCTTCCTCCTTCCTCTTGCTCCTCCTCCTCCTGCTCCTTCTTCTTTCAGTTTTTGGGTCACACCCAGTGATACTCAGGGTTATTCCTGGCTCTCCACTTAGAAATCACTTCTGGAGGTGCTCAGGAAACCCCTACTGGATCCAGGGAATCAACCCAGGTCTGGCACACGCAAGGCAAGCGCCCTACCCGCTATACTATCACCCTGGCTCAGGTCTATTTATTCTTAACTTATTAAGGGTTTTTAAAATTTATTTTAATTAATTAATTGATTTCTGGGTCACACCTGGTGATGCACATGGGTTACTCCTGGCTCTGTAGTCAGGAAATACTCCTGGCGGTGCTTGGGGGACCATATGGGATGTTGGGAATCGAACCCAGATCAGCCACATGCAGGGCAAATGCCCTACCTGCTGTGCTATCACTCCAGCCCCACTAAGATTTTTTTTTAAACTTTTTGAATAGTAAATGAATGTTTCACTTACACTGAGTGTTTATGTCTATTCAGATAATTTTGACTTCCACAGAGGTTTTCATTATATGTTTTATTTATTAATGCAGATGCTTAAGCATGATCTACAATATAATATTTTCTAACAGGAAGCCAATATTCCTTTTCTAGAGGTTTTTGAGTTTTTGAAGATTCTAGAGCGATAGCACAGCAGTAGGGCATTTGCCTTGTGCGCAGCCAGCCCAGCAGAGCTGGGTTCAATTCCTCCTCCCCTCTCGGAGAGCCCGGCAAGCTACCGAGAGTATCTTGCCTGCACAGCAAAGCCTGGCAAGCTACCCGTGACGTATTCAATATGCCAAACACAGTAACAACAAGCCTCAAAATGGAGATGTTACTGGGCCCGCTCGAGCTAATCGATGAACAATGGGAGGACAGTGCTTTCTCTAGAGTTTTTGAAAAATCTGATATCGACTTTTATTTTTATTTACTTACTTATTTATTTTTTGCTTTTTGGGTCACACCCAGCGATGCTCAGGGGTTATTCCTGGCTCTGCACTCAGGAATTACTCCTGGCGGTGCTTGGGGGATCATATGGGATGCCGGGGATCGAATCCAGGTCGGCCGCGTGCAAGGCAAACGTCCTACCCGCTGTGCTATCACTCCGGCCCCTGATATCGACTTTTATTAATGTATAGTTGTGTGTCATTTCAGGGTTTTCACTCTGCTCATTTATAAATGTATAAGTGTCATCACCTCTACAATAAAAAACTCTTTAAAGAAGAGATCGCTGTCATATGTGGAGTGTGTAGAAACATAATAACAACAACAAAGGGCCCAGAGCATGGGGACTGGAGATTTGTCTACAAAACAGAGCTTACATGGGTGGGGGCAGGTAGTGACTGTGAAGGGAGCGACTCTCTGGTGGTGGGTGTGGTGTTGGAACGATGTCAGCATGAAAGGTATAATTCACAGTATTGTAAAGCTTGCCACTTCAATGAAAACGATAAAGAAAAAAAATGTACAAAAATTTAAAAAAGAGAATGAGCCCGGAATAGGCCCCGAGCACGAGGGGCTGTGGAAGGGAGGCCTGTGACCCAGTTCCCGTGGGGGCGCTGCTGGTACCCCCACATCTCTGTCGCCCAGCAGTGGAGCAGCCGTACCCACTGGTTCAAGACCATTACCCTTTTCCAACATCTTTTTTTTGGGGTGGGGGGCTTTTTGGGTCATACCCGGCGATGCTCAGGGCTTACTCCTGGCTCTGCACTCAGGAATGTGCTCAGGGGACCTTATGGGATGTTGAGGATCGAACCCAGGTTGACCCTGGGTCGGCCCCGGGTCGGCTGTGTGTGCAAGGCAAATGCCCTACCCGCTATACTATTGCTCCGGCCCCCTTTTCCGGCATCTTGTCCAGTTTACAGACATGAAACAGAGAGGCAGGATGGATGGGGACAGGGAACAGTGAAGCGGCTTTAGACCGGAAATGGCACTCACAGAGAGGCCGGAAGACTCAGCTGTGGATGCAGCAGGTGGTTCTGATGCCAGGCTCTGGGGCTGACCGCCTGGGCAAGCTGCTCACCCTCTCCTACATGGGCTGGCCTGACAGTCAGTCACGAGGTTGTGGAGAGAGGTTTTTTTTTTTCTACATTATGTAAGACATCTATGATTATTCAGTTATTTTTTTGTGATCTGTTTCCCTCTTTTTCCTTTTTTTTTTTTTTAAATTTGTTAATGAAACACCATGAGATACAATCACAAACTTACATACCTTTGTGATTATGTCTTAGTCATACAATGGCCGAGTACTGGTCCCTCCACCAGTGCCTGCTCTCCACCACTAATGTTCCCAGTATCCCTCCCACCCTCCCATTTCCCCTCCTCCCCACCTCTGTGGCAGGCACATTCCCTCTTACTCTCTCTCCTTTTGGGTGTTGTGGTTTGCAATACAGGTATTAAGTGGCCATCATGTTCAGTCTATAGTCTACTTTCAGCACACGTCTCCCATCCTGAGCGAGCTCTCCAAGCATCCTGTGCTTGGTGGTCCCTTCTCTATCTCATCTGCCTTGGAGAGGGTTAAATGAGCAGACACCCGCCAGAGTAGCCTCAGAGCCTTGATGCTCAGGAAGTGTTGGTGGCCTTTCACACTTTTGTTTCATTTTGCGGTCACACCTGGCAGTGCTCAGGGCTTACTCCCAGCTTTGCACTCAGGCCTTACTCTTGATGGGGCTCAGGGAACCCTACGGGATGCTGGGGACCAATCGCAGCTTGGCTGCGTGCAAAGCCAGCACCCTCCCCGCCATCCCGTCATTTGGCCCACCAAATTTTGCACCTTTGCCTCTCCCCAAAACCCATTGGATTGTGCTCCTTCCAGTGTTAACTCTGGGGTCAAGGCCCGAGCACAGGCAATGTCTACAGAAGGTTTGGGTTCCTTCCCTGACCACATGCTCCCGTCCCCCAGCATTGCTTTGGGAATAGCCCCCTCCCCCGCAAACCCAGCATCTGGTGTGCCCCAAAACCCAGGATCTATATATAACTGCCTTTGAAAAACCGAATAGCAATTACTCAAAAAGTGAGAGGCGGAACTGCATTATGACCCAGCAACCCGCGTTGGGGTCTCTATCTCAAAGGAATGAAGCAGCAGAACCCTGAGGTTTGGAGAGAGGCCTCCACGGGCGAGTATAAGCCTTCATGCAGGAGACTCTAGGTTTGATCCCCAGTGCCACCTGGTCCCCGAGCACCGCTGGGAGAAACCCCCCAAGAGTGAGGCAGGAGTATCCCTTCAGACCACTGGGTTGAGCCTCAAAACAGACAAACAAATGAGCACACGGGTGTTCCCATGGTGCCCACGTCACCTGGGATGAGACACATACCTGGGGGATGTGGGGTCCCCGTCTTTGCAGAGAAAGCTTTGAGCGGCACCTGCGGGTCCACCTTGAAAAGTCAGGAGAGGGACGCGCATCTCCAGAACACCTGGAAAACAGAACCGAAGGGGCCACCTCAGCCACGGTGTGAGAGCGGCCGCTTTTCAGAGAGCCCATCATTGTCATCCTCGAACGAGATCCATGCTGGGACCCCGGCACAGAGGAGAACAAAGTGCACTTATGTTTACTCTGAGTCACAAAGCCCCCAGCAACCACTTGCTTCCACAATCCAAAATCTCCGCCATACCCCCAGCCGGACTCTACCGTCTCAAGATGGACCTCACCAAGATAGCACTGCAGCACTGTCCTCCCGTTGTTCATCGATTTGCTCAAGCAGGCCCAGTAACATCTCTGTTGTGAGTCTTGTTGTTACTGTGTTTGGCATATCCAATACTTCACGGGTAGCTTGCCAGGCTGAAAATTCTGGTATGCGGGTTTTGTGACTGAAATCTCCAGGCTTTCTCAGAGTTGGGATAGGCTACCTCCCCCCAACTCCCTGTACTTCTGGAAGCCTTGGCAGTCACATCCACTCCCCAAAGCTTCCACCCAATTGAAAAGCTACTCCAGCCTTATGGTCTCGATAAAAATACTGAATGCCCTGAACAAGCACCATGACCTCTTAGCTCCTGTATCACAAACCATAATGCATAAAAGGAAAAGGAGAGAGAGAGCAAGAAGGAAAGCACCTCCCATAGAGGGAGGCTAGGGGTGAGGGGGTGGGAGGTTGGGGGATGGTGGTGGGGAAGTGGGGGACATTGGTGGAGGGATGGATGCTAGATCATTGTATTACTGAAACCCAATTATGAACAGCTTTGTAATGGTCTATCTCACAGATATCCAATTAAAAAAAAGTTTTTAAAAAGTAATGTGGATTTCAGGCCTAATTCAACCAGCTTAATCAATGGCTGAATAAATAGCAGTACGCCTACATAAAAAAAAAGTTTACTCTGAATCCTGAGAAAGCCCAGGCCTGGGGGAGGGGTACAACGTGACCCCCACTGGGGTATGAGAACATGTGAGTCTATGCCCATGGCTCCAGGGGTTGACTCCTGCCAAATCAGTGCTGGGCTTATGCGTCAGTGCCCACAGGATGGCAAAGCAGCCTTTGGCACACTGGTGGCACCCAGACCCTTTAACACGAAGGGATGGAGCAATAGTATGGTGGGGAGAGTACTTGCCTTGCACATGGCCAAGCTGGATTCAGTCCCTGGCATCCCACAGGGCCCCCTGAGCCCCCCTATCCCCAAGGAGGGATCTCTGAGCACAGAACCAGGAGTCAGCCCTGAGCATCGCTGGATGTGGCCCCCAAACAAACAAAACAAAATTTTTACAATGATTCCCAGTGACGAGAACCATCCTTCTCTAATGTTCCAGATGAGAAAGACAGGTTGAGCGGCTAGACACGGACAAAGTCACATTTGCTGTCTTTGCTACGACTCTGGTTGTCACCCCAAGATCCCAGCTGTGCTCACCCCCACCTCCCCACCCTTCCTTTGGGGGAATTCGAAAACCAGAGGCGTCTGGAGAGATGGTTCAGCGGCTGAGTGCATGCTCTGCATTCCTGAGGCCCTGGATTGGATCCCCGGCACCGCATGGTCCCCCAAGCACAGCCAGGAATGAATGTCCCCTGAGCAGAACAGGTATCATCTCCAAACAAAAGCAAACAAAGGACATCAGAGGGGAGGTCTGGCCTCCTGGCCCTGAGCCAGCTGCTTGTACTAAGAGGAATTTCGACTGTAGATCTGACACTTCAAAATAGTGCCCCTCAGGCCTAGAGCCATAACACAGGAGGTGGGGTGCTTGCCTTGCATGTGCTCAACCCGGGTTCAAGCTCCTTGACCCTGTAGGCTTCTCTAAGCCCTGCCAGGAGTGATCCCTGAGCACAGAGCCAGGAGTAAACCCTGATCACTGCTGGGTGTGGCCCCCGAAACAAAATAAAAATAACACCCTTGCACATCAAAATCCTAAGTGTGATCACTCTTGCAACCATGCCACCTAAGCTACTAACAAAGTTAAAAAAAAAACTGATTTAAAAATAGCTCCTTTATCCTATATGGTCTCCCCATCGCCACCAGGAGTGATTCCTGAGTGCAGAGCCAGGTATGACCCAAAATGCAAAAAAAAAAAAAAGGGGGGGGGGCTGGAGCAATAGCACAGCGGGTAGAGCATTTGCCTTGCACATGGCCAACCTGGGTTCAATTCCCAGCATCCCATTTGGTCCCCTGAGCACCACCAGGGGTAATTCCTGAGTGCAGAGCCAGGAGTAACCCCTGTGCATCGCCAGGTGTGACCCAAAAAGCAAAAAAAAAAAAAAAAAAAAAAAAGCCATGTACTTGTAGGGTAACTATGGCTTCCGGACAAGATGCCCCATCCCAGCCTGGCCATGGGGCCACCCACACCCTTTGGAAGCTGCTGGCAACCCCCAGTGGGTCATGGGAGGATAAAGTAACCAGATTCGCTGTTTGAGCACCTCAGTGCCCACACTGGGGGCAGGGGGGGCTGTTTCCCACACCCATCCCATGTCTACAGGGGTAGAATGCCCGGAGGGCACCCCAGTCATGACCACAATCCAGGCAGAGGTCAGGGAGGGTCACCAGGAGCTGTGACACCCCTTGGCGCTGTGAGGGGCGCAGGGTGAAGTGGACCTATGCCCCCGCTCCCTCCTTGGCTGCGAGGGGCTCTGGGCTGTGGCACTGTGTTGGGTGAGGCAAAAACACCACAGAGGCTGATTCCTGCCCACTCCCCGTGCTCCCCTTCCTGCACATGGACACCCACGCAGGAGGCAGGCGGGCCTCACCTCAGGGCTCACCTTCTCCAACAGCCTCGTCAACGAGCTTCTGGAACAAGCCCAGGGCTCTCTGGTCCACGATGAGGGAGACGTCCTTGTCCAGGGCCTGCAGAGAGGCGGCCAGAGCTAGGGCTCCCGGGGGCCCGTCGTTCTCCTCCGGAGGCTCGTGTTTGAAGTGCGTGGGGAATCCGGTGGTGATGAGCACCGAACGGGAGTGGGACAGCGACAGGGAGGCCCGCAGCAGCTCACCTGCCCGGAGCAGGTGCCCGATGCCCCGGTTGCCTGTGATTATGAAATCAAACCATCAATCCCGAGTTTAAAGCAGAAACACAGGGCTGGAGCAACAGCACAGCAGGGAAGGTGTTTGCCTTGCACTCAGTCGACCCGGGTTCGAGCCCCGGCATCCCTTATGTTCCCCCTAGCACCACCAGGAGTGATTCCTGAATGCAGAGCCAGGAGTAACCCCTGAGCATCATTGGGTATGACCCAAAAAGCCAAAAAAAAATGCAGAAACTCATGCAATAACCACCACCCCCCCATGAATCTTGAATTTAAAGCAGAAACTCATGCAAGAAACTATAATCCTGAGCTTAAACCAGAAACTCATGCAAATAGCAGTTCAGGGACTTTTGTTTCTGCAGTGGCTTTGAAGGATGTGGTGGAGAAACTGTCACTTGTCTACCAGAATCCGGTTTCCTCCCTCCCCAGGAGGGAAGGATAGTTAGGGAAATGGCTGACGAGCCTGTCTGTGGGCACAAAAGTGTCAGTGGTCACCTTCGGGCCAGGCTGCTGGCGCCCTTGGGATTCTTCCAGTTTTCCTTCTTGGAGCCCGGAGTGGTGGTGACTAGCGCCCCCTGGGGGTGACACGGTGTGCTGGAAGCATTGCCTGGTGGCTGTGATAGTGAGGGTATCCTCTGCCTCCCCCCACTGGTCTCATGGCCCTGGTCCCCACCCCGCACCCTGGTTCCAGGCATCACTTGGGGAACAGGTGATGGATGGGCCAGCAGGGAGGCCACACCTGCCGTCTCCAGTTGTGCAAGTTACAAAGAGCACCAGATCTAGATTCCTAGCTCCCAAAAGGGTGCTGGGGAGAGAGGGGGGTGGGGTGGGCGAGGGGAGGCGGAAAGCACCTTTCTACGACGGACCCTGTCTATGCAGCAGCTGCAGTCACGGTTCTTCCTGCCTCCTGCAGAGGCGGGTGTCACTGATGCTCACTGATACTCCTGATAGACAGAACTTCCGGGGGAGCCCAGTGAAGTCTACACCCAATTCTTCCCACCTCTGTCAGCAAATGGGTGGATTTCCCATGTGCAACAGTGCCCCCTGCTGCCGCCAGGGATAGAATTTTGGGTCCCGGAGTGAAGACTCCACTAAAAGCTCAAAACTCCACTAAGAGCTTTCAGCAAACCTACCTGGAGCCCCATGGGAGGATTCCAGCATGCAAGCCTGTTGGATGACATTGGTTTGTCCTTGCTCCTCCCTAAGGGAGCTTAGGTTTATTGAGTTACTCCCACCAGAGTGCTCCTGAGGAACAACCAATTCCCTCAGGCACTTCTAATCCTATATTGCTTTTCTCTTTCCTTTATGTCCTTTGCATGGTTTAGCAATGGGCTTTTTGGATAGACACAGGAAGACAGTTGATGCTATGCTTTTGTAACATGGGAGTTAATTGACTCCAAAATAATATTTACTCTTGGGCATCCATCCTATTTATCTGACTTAAGCCTCAGTTGCCCTTACACCTTAATACAAAAGGAGGGTCCTAGTAAGGGACAAGGATGGACCCAGAGCAAGCTGTCAGCTACCCTGGCATCGAAGAAGAATAAACTAAGCGCCATAAGTATAAAAAGTTAAGAGCACAGTCGAGCACGGTCATGGAACAAACTTTGTCATGACCCAAAAAGAAGTAACTGAATAAGGACCCTGCTGAGGTTAGGAAAGACCTGGCCTGAGGACTGTAGTCTGGGATATATAGCGAGATGTCCCCAGAAAGAGCCAACCTTTAAGCTTAATATATCTCTTACTGTGTTTATACAAAATGACTAGAAAGATTAGTAAGAAGTAAATTTACTGTGATTGTCTAAATGGATTACTAGCTGAGGAAAGGAGAAAGCAATACACCCTGGATGGAATACCGCCCTTGATCGGATCTCCTAGTAGTCTAGAGTGCTGAACCCTCAGATGAGATTTTGTCCTTGAGTTAATCTCCCAGAAGAACTTCCCCTGAAGGAGGGGCTTTATATCTGTTTGTTGTTCAACCCCACCCCACCCTTCATGATTTCTATATAAGTATGCCATAAGGAGATAGAGGGGGGGAAGAGATCTAACTATGTAGAAGAAAATATTGATACTGTAAAGGAGGAGAGATCTAACTATGCTGAGGAAGAAATGACTACGCTGGGATGCTGGGAATCGAACCCAGGTCAGCCGCGTGCAAGGCAAACACCCAACCCACTGTAGTATCGCCCCAGCCCCCGTTTCTTCGTTCTTCTGTCATTGGCTGGCCAGGGGAACGGTTCTCAGCCACCGAACGCATGTGCCCTGCGTGCTCATGCTTTTTGAACTCACACCAGCCCAAGGTTCTCCCTTCCCTGAGATGCATCACACATCTTACCTGTGTGCTGCAAACAGTGACAGGGCCCTGTCTCCTCAGGGGTGTGCCCACACAGAAGAGAAAAAGCCTGCTCTCCACCCACCCCCAGGATACGAGCGCCAAAGGGGAAGTCTCAGGATGGGTCCAGAGACAACACAGGGCTTAAGGTGCAAGCTTGCAGGCAGCTGGCCTGGCTCATTTTCTGCTACCACCTGGTTCCCTAAGCAAGCCCTGGAGGCCCCATCAATGCCGCCAGCAGCACCGGATGTGGAATCCCCTGAGCACCGCCGCAGTGGCCTGGGCACTAGTGCTACCACACAGCCAGAACAGCAGCCATCCTTGGACCCTCACGCTGAACTGCTGCCCTAGTTGGCTGAGAACTACTAAGAGGGGCCCCTGGAAGACCCTGAGAACCACTTGGGAGACCACTCCCTTCCCCTAGTAGTATCATATGGGTCAGAGAGATAGCTCAGTGCTCTGGAATGTAAGTTTTGCATGTGGGAGGCCCAGCTTCAACTCCTGGTACTACCCAACCCCTTGAACGTGGACTAAACCCCAAGTACTTATGTACTGAACTGAGGAGCATCTGCTAGGTCTGACCTCTCAAACCTCCCACCCCAAATCACATCGTGTTTGCTATAGCAACCGACATTCCACAGTTAGCACTTCTGAAAGAAAAATCTAACCTTCATAGATTTCCACGAAGTGAACCTATACAAACCCAATCAGAAACTGCTGCTTACGAAACGACAATATACAAGAGCATAAAAGTACACATATAAACAAGTATAAGCAAGTATACATATAAGAAGTAAAAATTGGGTAATAATATTTCAGACAGATCAGTGATATTATTGGAATCTATTTTTACTGTTTCTCAGAACTGTCAACTACGATGGTAGTTGGCGGACTTGAAAATTAATTCGAAGCAATTTATAAAATAAGTGATTAGGGCTGGGAATGTGGCTGAACTGGTAGAGGACACACCTTGCATGTGGCCCTATCTCCATTCCAATCCTTCCCTAGCCCTTTTCCCAGCATCACTGGGAATGGCTGACCTGGAATGCCTAAAAAAATCCCCCAAGTTCCCCTTAGCCCCTATAAGAAAATCAGCAAATATTATCAGATTTAAAAGTTCTAAAATTGGGGCTGGAGCAATAGCACAGCGGGTAGGGCGTTTGCCTTGCACGCAGCCAACATGGCCGACCCGGATTCGATTCCCAGCATCCCATATGGTCCCCCGAGCACCGCCAGGATTAATTCCTGAGTGCATGAGCCAGGAATAACCCCTAAGCATTGCCGGGTGTGACCCAACAAGCAAAGCAAAAAAAAAAAAAAGTTCTGAAATCACAGAGGATGGAGTGATAGTATAGCAGATAGGGAGTTCGCTTTGCATGTGACCAACTCAGGTTCGATCCCGGTATCCTACATGGTCTCATGAACCTGCCAGGAGTGGTCTCGAGTGTAGAGCCAGAAATAAGCCTTGAGCAGAGCTGGGAGTGGTTCAGAACCCCCAAAACATTCTAAACTAATTAAATGTTATGATAGATTAGGGCTGGAGCGATAACACAATGGGTAGGGCATTTGCCTTGCACGCGGCTGACCCAGGTGACTCGGGTTCAATTCCTTCACCCCTCCCGGAGAGCCTGGCAAGCTACCGAGAGTATCTCGCCCGCACAGCAAAGCCTGGCAAGCTACCCGTGATGTAACTGATATGCCAAACACAGTAACAACAAGTCTCACAATGGAGACTGGGCCCGCTCGAGCAAATCAATGAACTACAGGAGGACAGTGTTACAGTGCTACATATTTATGCATACCTATAAATACGATTAAAATAATTTATAAAGGCGTGACTTAATTTTGTTTTGTTGTGTTGTTTTGGGAAGTACCTGGCGATGCTCAGGGCTTACTCCTAGTTCTATGCTCAGGAATTACTCCTGGTGGTCCTCTGGGGAACAAATGGGGATCCAGGGACCAAACCTAGGTTGGTTGCATGCAGGGCAAGCACCCTACCCATTGTACTACCTCTTCACTCCCAGGCATAACTTTATTTACTTTTTATCTATTTTTTGGTGTTTGGGCCACACCTGGTGGTGTCTAGGGACTACTCCTGCCTCTGCAGTCAGGAGTCACTCCTGGCAGTACTCAGGGGACTATATGGGATGAGGAGGATCAAACATGGGTTGGCCACATGCAAGGCAAATGTCCTGCCCGCTATACTTCACTCTGGCCCCCGCATCTCTTGGCATTTTAGAACAAACCATACACTTGCATAGTCTCCACAAATGGAGGGATTCAGCAACCACAGAAGAAAGGACTTGCAAACCCATTTCCCCTCATGGGTATTGCAAGAGCATCATTAAGCCTGTGGGGTCCTTTGTCTAAACAGTGGCAGTTGAATATTCAGGAACCATTCTCTTTCTGTAAGTTATCTAAACCCAATTTATTTTATTTTGATTAAAAATGTGGGTTTTTTTTTGTGCTCTAGGCTTACTTCTTGCTCTGTGCTCAGGCATCACTCCTAGTGGGGTTCAGAGACTGAGGTGGGATGCTGGGGGATTGAACCCAGGCTGGCTGCATGCAAGGCAAGTGCCCTACCGGCTGTACTATTGCTCGGATCCAATCCTAATGTAATCGGTGGCAAAGTTGCAGTTTATTAAAACTCACTTTCTAAACCTCATTATTTTTTTGGGGAAAAAAAGTCCATAATCTCACTACCCAGAGTTATCACCATCAGTATTGAGCTTCCATATGACCCTGCTATACCACTTCTGGAAATATATTCCGAGAGTGCATTAAAAGCACAGTAGAAGTAGAATTGATATCTGCACCTGTATGTTCATTGCAGCACTGTTTACAATAACCAGAATCTGGAAACAACCCAAGTGCCCGAGAACAGACGACTGGTTAAAGAAACTTTGGTACATCTACACAATGGAATACTAGGCAGCTGTTAGGAAAGATGAAGTCATGAAATTTGCTTATAAGTGGATGGTCATGGACAGCATCATGCTAAGTGAAATGAGTCAGAAAGAGAGGGACAAGCATAGAACGACTGCACTCATTTGTGGAATATAAAATAACATATTATGAGACTGACACCCAAGGAAAGCAGAGACAAAGGCCAGAAAGAGTGCCCCAGAGTTGGAAGCTTGCCTCATAAGCTGGGGGTGAAGGCAGCTGGGATAGAGAGGGGGATCACTAAGTCAATGATGTTTGGAGGGATCGTTCGGGATGGGAGATGTGTGCTGAAAGTAGATAAAGGACCAAGCATGATGGCCTCTCAGTATCTGTATTGCAAACCATAATGCCCAAAAGGAGAGAGAGAGAGTATGGGGGAAATTGTCTGCCATAGAGGCAGGGGGAGGGTTGGAAAGGGTGGGGGATCCTGGGGACAATGATGGTAGGGAATGTGCACTGGTGGAGGCATGGGTGTTTGATTATTGTATGACTGAAACCCAAAAATGAAAGTTTTGTAACTTTTTCTCATGGTGATTCAATTAAAAAAATAATTCTAGTACCCTGGAAGATTTTTTTTTGGTGGGGGGGGGTTGGGGCTGTTTCCCAAGTGGCACTCAGGAGGCCCAGGAGCTCCTCCTGATGACTCTCGGCCAGCCGGCTGGTGGATCAATACAAGGTCCTAGCAAACCTGATGATGCTCAGGGCTTGCGGATTACCTGGCAGTGCCTGGTGCCAGGGACTGAACTGGGATTGGCTCCACGCAAGGTGCATGCTTAACCCCTGCACTCAGTCCCCTCTGTGGGGGACTCATAGCAGTATAAACACTGTCACTGTCCTCCCATTGGTCATCGATTTGCTCGAGCGGACCCACTATCGTCTCCATTGTGACACTTGTTACTGTGTTTGGCATATCGAATACGTCACGATAGCTTGCCAGGCTTTGCCGTGCGGGCCAGATACTCTTGGTAGCTTGCTGGGCTCTCCGAGAGGGGCGGAAGAATTGAACCTGGGTCGGCCAGGTTGGCCGCGTGCAAGGCAAATGCCCTACCCACTGTGCTATCGGTCCAGCCCATAAACATTGTAAAAAAAAAAAGCATATTGTAGGTAGGGCTGAAGAGAGAGTTCAAAGGGCTAGAGAGCAGAGGCCCTGAGTTCAATCCCCACTCCCCCACGGCTCCCCACGGGCCCCCAAGCAGCACCATGGCACGGCCCTAGGGGCCTGCGTGTCTAGAGGCCCCTGGGTCTGAGCATTGAACAACGTGACCTGCAGAGTCAGGCTAAATTTCCCAGGAGGGGCGCCTGCACCCCCTCTGCGCTGTTTGCCCCCTGAAATTCCACTCTGTGTCTAATTTCATGCTGCCTTATCCACAGGATACCGTGATGAACCTTCTCAGCCCCTTCAGGGGAAGACGCTCAGTGACTTACCTGGGTCTACGGCAATTATCGTTTCTAGTTCTCGAATCTTCTGCACGGCTGAAGCTGAGGCGATGCTGTAGTGCAAAGGATCTTGGGAAATCTGGTGGACCTCGGGAATTCCCTCAGGAGGGAGAGAGCTGGCCGGAGTCTCTGCATCCTTCAGGTCGGTCATTACGGTACAGCCAGGTGCACTGGTGAATGCCAGCGGGGTCTCTGAAACGCACAGCAACAGGGCCCGAGCTCAGCTCCCCAGCCAACCCTGTCTGTGCTCATCAAGCCCAACGCATGGGTAAGATGGCACCACTTCCTCCCTGGCTGCTCACTGGCTGCAGGTCAGAACAAGCTGAATCAAGCTCCATGTAAACAGGTGCCTCCCATGACTTGGGACTGAAGATGAATGAATGGGAGAAGAGCAATGAAGTGAACCACAGCTAAGGCTCTGGCTCTTCCCATCAGTTGAGCCCCATGGAAACCAGGATGGACTCACTGAACTCCCACAATGCACCAGGCCACCCTGCTTCACTCTGCAGCAAGTGTTTGGTTTGCTCGCAAAGAGCACCACCCTCTGAACCCGGCTTCTGTTTTCTCAGAGGACTTACAATTTGCTTCGATTTATGGTAATTGCATTCTTTTAAAAACCCTCTCCCGTTAGGTCCCAGGCGCCTGGAGCACTCAAGCTGAGCTATTAAGAACAAGTCGGATTGAGGCAAACACTTGAGTTTGAGATGGGGATTTATCCTCTCCAAGTTCGTTTCTTCAAGTATAAAATAATGTTTATGCCTCACACGTTTGTCAGAGTTGAAATTGCACATAAAAGGGGCCAGCGGACCCTGCAGACCAGTACCTCATGACTGATGGCTCACACCTCGCCCTGCCCCGCCCCCCCCCCCCCCGCACCTGGGGCTCTGCTTGGGCTCATTCCTCTGGTCCTATGCCAGGCCTTTCGTGTTTCATGCTCACTATGCTAAAATTCTCCCTTTGCCTTTTTTTGGGGGGGGGGGGGGTCACACCTGGCCATGCGCAGGGGTTACTCCTGGCTCTGCACTCAGGAATTACTCCTGGCAGTGCTCAGGCGACCATATGGGATGCTGGGAATTGAACCCAGGTAAGTCACATGCAAGGTAAACACCCTCCCCGCTGTGCTATCGCTCCAGTCCCTCCCCTTTGACTTTCTTCAGAACCATTTTTTCGGGGAGGGAGCTGGATTTTGGAGCTACACCTGGCTGTGCCCAGATGTTATCCCAACCTCAATGCTCAAGAGTGACCTCTGGTGATGATTTCTGACAACAGTTAGTGCCAGGGATCAAACCGGGGTTGGGTATGCACCATGCCAAGCAAGCACCTTTCCTTCCTGTACTGTCTCTCTCTGCCACACACCCCCAAGCCTATTTTTTGTTTCCTGGTAAACTTTTATTTTGGTCCCAGGAATGAGCCCCAGACCTCATACTTACCAGGCATGTGCTCTACCACTGGAGATTCATTCCCCATCCTCTTTTTATTTTTTTTAATTCATTCATTTTTGGTTTTGGGCCACAGCCAAACAATGCTCAGGGATTAATCCTGCTCTGTGCTCAGGGATTACTTCTGGGGAGCTCTGGGAATTGAACCCAGGTTGTCCGTGTGCAAGGCAAGCGCCGTGCCTCCTGTCTATCTCTCCGGTTCACCCCATCCTCTCTTGAGAGTCTTTATCTTCTTGTACTCTCACCCAACTCTTCTCAATCAGGAACATGTGACCCCCTGACCCCCACCCCAAGGGTACTTTAAGGAGACACCCTTAAAAATTGAATCTATGGGGGAGGGCAGTCAGATTTCTGAGATCTAACAGAGAAACTTGGCCAGTTCCTCAGGCATACAGGCAGACTCAGGGATTCACAGGACCACAGCCAGCGTGATGCGCCTATGTCGGGACAAAACCTTACCTCACTGTGGACACATGAGCCAGGTGCCAAAGAGTCAGGCACCAGCGAGGCGGGGGTCTCTCCTTCAGGAGTGGGCGAGCAGCCACGGAATGATGGCCCGCAGAAGTTTACGAGCTGATGGCAGGGCTGAGCGTGCTTTTTGGAGCCAAGGAAGCCCTTGACCTAGATGCCATTTGCTCTCTCTTACAATCAAGTGTGTGACTGCAAGTCACAGCAGAAGGTCTGGCCCTCGGAGGATGTTGCTGCCCACGTGTGGGCATGTATCATTCTCTGTTGATCTCATGTTACCTACATGATGGCCAGCAAAAATGGCCTCTTCTGAGATCATCTCTCCCTCTCCAGAGGCCATTTGGACAGTGACTTTCTCAGGGGTTCAAAAGGAAGGGCTGGGGGGTAACTTCGTAGCCGAGCACTAGCCTGGCATGTGTGAGCCCTGGGTTTCAATTCAGCGCCACCACCACTACCAACAATATATATATATATATATATATATATATATATATATAGCTTTTTGGGTCACACCCGGCAGTGCACAGGGGTTACTCCTGGCTCTGCACTCAGGAATGACTCCTGGCGGTGCTCAGGGGACCATATGGGAGGCTGGAAATCGAACCCAGGTCGGCTGCGTGCAAGGCAAATGCCCTATCCGCTGTGCTATCACTCCAGCCCCCAACCGACAACAAAAAGATTAAATGGTGTGCAAAATAAATGAAAACAACACTAAGTTCTATGCTTTTTTTCAAAAGATTTTTTAAGTGAATCTCTGTCAGAAAGACCCTTACAAAGCTACATGAGTAGGTTTCAGTCATACAGTGTTCCAACATCCATCCCTCCACCAGTGTATGTTTCCCAGTACCAGTGTTCCCAGTTTCCCTCCCATCCTCCCCAACCCCCCAATTCTATGCTTTTTAGCACACCTATGACTGAGATGCTAGAATTTTCCAGTGTCTACTGGAAATAGACTTCAATATTGATCATCATCATTATTATCATTATTATTGTTGTTTCTGGGCTGCATCTGGCTGTGTTCAGGATTTACTCCTGGTCTGGGCTCAAGGATCCCTCCTGGTGGGATTATAAGAGACTGTGTGGAGTATAAGAGAATGTGTATGATGCTGGGGATCAAACTGAGCTCAGCAGCCTGCCATTGGCTGGCTCCAACAGTCAATATCCTTATCAACGTTTCCACTGCACCCCTATGTTACACTGAGCTGGTTTAGGGCACCTTCGTGTGTCTCTTTGTAACATCACCTAGTCTTTTGAGAAAATGTTTTAACAAATGTAGGATAATATTGGTTCGTCCTTTCTCCCTTGCTGTAGGGAGCTTAGATTTATTGGGTTACACCCATCACAGTGCTCTCGAGGCACTCCCATTCCTCTGTGTTTATCTTTAACTTCTCTGTGCTCTGTTTCCCCGATCTATTGATCACCTATATCCCTAAATCAGACCCTGTGACTTGTAAGGTCAGACCCTTCTAAAAACTCTGGATTTTTGTATTTGTAAGTGAAATATTGTTTTTTTCTTTCCCTTATGTACTTTTTCATAGTTTGCTTTAGAATAATGTCCTTTTTGTATAGACACTGGAAGACAGTTAATGCTATGCATTTGTAACTTGAGAGTCAACTGACTCTGAATAATATTTATTCCTGGGCATCTATCATATTTACTTGATTTTTTTTCTTTTTGGCTCACACCCCGCGATGCACAGGGGTTACTCCTAGCTCTGCACTCAGGAATTACCCCTGGCAGTGCTCAGGGGACCATATGGGATTCTGGGAATCGAACTCGGGTCAGCTGCATGCAAGGCACACACACGCCCTACCTGCTGGGCTATTGTTCCAGACCCATATTGACTTAATTTAAGCCTCAGTTGCCCTTAGTTCCTAGCACCCCAAAAGCAGGGTCCTGACGAAGTGACTGGATGGGAGTTACTGTAAATTACCCTGGTATTAAAACCGACGGGCCAAATGCCATAAAACTTATAATAAAATTTTTTCCATCACACCGGGCAATGCACAGGGGTTACTCCTGGCTTATGCACTCAGGAATCACTCCTGGCGGTGCTTGGGGGACCATATGGGATACTGGGAATTAAACCCGGGTCTGCCGCATGCAAGGCAAACGCTCTACCCATTGTGCTATTGCTCCAGCCCCCCAAAACTTATAATAAATTAAGAGCATGGTCGTGGACAAATTCTGTCATGACCCAAAGAGAAGTGACTGTACAAGGACCCAACGAGGGTTAGGAAGGACTAATCTGGTCTGAGGACATAGTCTGGGATCTATAGTGAGATGTCCTCAGGAGAACCACCCTTAAAGCTCAATATATCTCTTACTGTGACCATACAAAATGACTAAAAAGATTAGTAAGAAATAAATTTAAGATGACTGTTTATAGGCGTATGGACTAAGGAAAGGAGAAACACACTCTCAGAAACACACCCCTTGAACAGAACTCCTAGCAGGATGAGACCTTTGTCTTAGAAGAGCTTCCCCCAAAGGAAGGGCTTTCATATGTTGACTGTACTGTGTCACCTAGGTGTAGTTGCTATCATAACACCTGGAGGTCGGGCTCTTGACTAAGGCAGCAAGACTGGGTGAGAGGAGACTAGCATGGGGGAAAGAAGGAGAAGGAGATGGAGAAGGAGTGAGAGGCAGTGTGAGACTGGAATGGGGGCACTCAGGGAGATTGGAACAGGTGCGTGGGGAGAATGGAATAAACAGCGGGATGGAGATTAAATAAGTGACAACTGATCACCAACCAGCTTGGTGGCCCAGTTCCCTCCTTCATGCGTCCTTGGAGGCAGCTGCAGGCCGGGGTGGGGAAGCAGCTCAAGACACTGATGGGAGCCCACACACACTTTTTGAACACACAACAAAGATACTCTATAAGGTATTTATATTCACCAAGGAGCTGTGAGTTGGAAGCAGCTTAAAATTTCCCCAAGAGCACATTATTTTCATGTCTACGAATATCTTGCAAACATGGTGTGGAATATGAATTCCTTTGAAAAAGCTACAAGGCCTTTCAGATTACATTACATATATATCCCTATCTATCTATCTATCTATCTATCTATCTATCTATCTATCGGGGGCTCAGTGGTAGAGCATGTCCCCTGCATGCACGGACTCTGTCCCTGGCACTGCCCGCCCCCCTGCCATGGCATCCACCATGAAAACAACAGCTTCCCGACTAATCCCAGAGGAGTTGCCAGCCAAGCTGTTAAAACTCACAGCTTAGGAAACCCTCAGACAATGCCTTTAATGACCCCAGGGTGAGATAGAAGAGTTTTTATATATTTTAATTTACTGAAGTATAATTTTCAATCATTCTATTAGACATTTAGTTATCACAAGCAATATAAAATAAATTATTATGTGCCTGTTATGGGGGCAGGTTTGGGGGGGGAGGGAAACAGGGGACAATGGTGGAGGGAAGGTCACTCTGGTAGTGGATAGGTGTTGGAACATTGACTGCTCAAAATGACTGTCTTACAAACAACATTGTAAAAAAGTCGTGTTTAAATAAAGAACACACACACACACATCAGAGTGAGAGAGGCAATGGAGGGGTTAAGTCAATGGTTTTGCCTACAGCTGACCATGGTTCAGTCACTGGCATTACACAGTCTTTTGAGCATTGCCAGGTACAGCCCCAGCGTCCCCAAGCCCCAGAGGGGCAGCCAGAGGTACTGTCAGAGTATAGGCACTTGAATTACACCATGCTGTTGGGCTGTCTCACTGAACTACCAGCCTGGTTGGCTGAGTACTGTGGGGAGTGGCCTCCAGACCTCCTGACTACTGCTTGGAAATGCAACCCTCCCAAAAAAATATAATAAAAATAGAAAAAATCAAAATGCATTTGGACCAAAAGGCAAGTTACCTGTTAAGGAGACTCGGGCCCAGGAATGAGGGAACCAGAGATCTTCACCGTGACGACAGATCCATGTTTTGGATTCCCAAAATCATTGCACTGCAAGTTTGTACTTTTGAGAACTGGATCCCCACCAGGTGGTACCCCAGGTTAGCATCATGGCCCTGGTGCCCAGACTTACTGCAGCCACTGACAGCTTCGAGACAGGTGAGCTGAGAAGGCCAGAACACAGGAACGTCCCCAGGCTGACAGGACACTGCATCCCCGTAGTCGGGTCTGGAAAGATCTTTAATTCCCAGCAGCCCTGCAGATGAAGAAGGGAATGAATGCGTCGGGTTCTGAGCCGGATGGTTCCATCACACCAAGCGCGCCATGTGATCGATTCGTGCTTCTGTCTCTAGGAGGTACTCACGCACCCTCTGACTGTGTTATGGGAGGAAGAGCAGCTGAAGAGGAGGAACTGTCGTTCACCCAAACAGTCTCGACCCCTGGCCGGGATATCCCGCTGGAGTCTTAGCTGCCCATTTCCAGATGCTAACAAGAGCCAGAATTGGGAGTTTGTCTTGCTGTGGACGGACCCTAACCTCTGAGACTTGACCTCCAAGAGCACCCCTACCCCTGGGCAGGCATCAGAGTGTGTGGAACCTGGGAGGGGGGCAGGGCCCATCCATGGCACCAATGACAACATAGTTCAGCTGACACCTGTTTTGGGTGGCCTGAGCACTTCTTTCTATGTGGACTGGCAGAGTTCTTCTAGGAAATCAGGCTTTATCCCATTTTTCTGTGATTCTTCCTAACCCTTAGGAGGTCCCCTAGGGGTCTCTGAGGGGTCTGGGCAGCTTCCAGATTCTTGCCCATGACCCGGGGTCTGCTCACTCACTGGCAGATGGAGTGAGGGCTCAATGGTTCCCCTACCCAGCCATGCCACTCGATAACATCCTAGATCAGAGGGTGCTCTGGGCTCAAATATGGGGCAAAGATCTACGCCCCCCCACCCCCCACCCTTACTGGCCCTCTCCTGACTCACTGGAAAATCTCAAAAACAAATGAATGAGGCTGGCTAATCTCCCAAGAACACCTCCTGGGCAGAGACTTGGACTCGCATGGGAACACAGGAACACAAAAAGTTCCTCTCTTCTCAGGTGTCAGTTCAAGTCCAGCTGTTAGAACCAAGCCCGAGAATGGACACTAACCTGGGTCTCCGATATGAATGGGTCGTCCTTGCTCACGCCCCAGAGAGCAACTGGCCTGCACCAGCTTTTCCAACTGGCCCTGGGGAACAGGCCTCATGGTGACCACCAGGGGGCAGCCGAAGCCAGCGATGGTTGTGCAAGGCACGGTGGTCTGACAAGAGAGCGAGTGGAAAACCGTTACATTTCAGAATAGCCTCAGAAAGAAGCTCGGAGCATCAGAGTTCAAGGTAGTGTAGAAGAGGAGGTCCTAACAGGCCTTGTAAACATACAACCTAGGCGCCAGAGGAATAGCACAGCGGGGAGGGCGTTTGCTTTGCACGCGGCTGACCCGGGTTGAATTCCCAGCATCCCATATGGTCCCTTGAGCACCGCCAGGAGTAATTCCTGAGTTCATGAGCCAGGAGTAACCCCTGTGCATCGCCGGGTGTGACCCAAAAAGCAAAATAAATAAATAAATAAATACGTAAACAAACATGCAGTCTCTGCTTTGTATGATACAAGGGGAAGTTTGTTAGTAATTACTGGTCTGAAACAGAAGCAGGCGGTTTGCTGCCGGCAATCCTGGAAGAAAATGCTGAATTTCAACTTGGAGCAGCAGAATTTAAAATGCCAGCTCCCCCCACCGCCCAGCGCTCCCCATGAATTCCAAGCACTCTCTGATTCTTTTCCTCTGAAGGTTTCCGAACCTCACTCAAGGAGACAATCAAGGCTAAGGGACCCCAGAACTGGGGACCTGGCAGGGCTGGCCCCCAAGTCTCCTGGGCCTCAGTCTGCACACCCCACCACCTCGGGCCTCCTGTCCCCACAGAACCTGGTGACTTTCAGCGAGCGGGCTGTGCTGTTTTCTCCTTCTGCCTGGCGTCTGGGCCTACAGCGGGGCTTGGGGGAGATTTAGGGTATGGCTGGGTGATAATCCGCAGGAACAGACATGGAGACTGCTGGCAGATAGAGAGAACGCTGGCCGTGGGCAGCAGCAAGGGCTGGGGGCGCATGCCAGAGCCACAAGTGGGTGATAGGCTGCACTCTCTGAGGGACAGGGACAGGTTGTTCCCGCCAAGCCGCTGTCACTCGGGTCCAGGACGCCTGGCAGTTTCTCCGGGTGGCCAGTGGGCAGGGGCTTCAGATGGACTCAGGCCCCTGGTGGGGAAAACACGGCTCGGGACCCCCGCCCCAGGACACGGGTGGCCAGTCTGTGTAGAGTATCCCTTCACCACCACACTCCCCTGGCAGTGCTCAGGGCTCACTCCTGGCTCTGCCCTAACGAATCACTCCTGGCAGGGTTCGGGGGGATCGTATGAGGTGTGGGGGATGGAACCTTGGTGAGTTACAGGCAAGGCAAGTGCTGTACTCGCCAGACTCCCCCTCTGCCCCCTGTTGTAGATGTTTATCATCAGAAAATCCCAACTGTGGGCAGTTTCCTGTGCCCCTTTCCTTTTCACCAATACTGAGGGCTATTTGGGGATAAGAAAGCATAGACCGGGGGCTTGAGCGATAGCACAGCGGGTAGAGCATTTGCCTCGCAAGTGACTGATCCCAGGTTCAATCCCCAGCATCCTATATGGTTCCCCGAGCACCGTCAGGAGTAATTTCTGAGTGCATGAGCCAGGAATAACCCTGGTACATCGTCGAGTGTGAAAAAAAAAAAAAGAAAGTCCGTCCTTCACGCCCTACCGAGGTCACCAGTTGCCCCCCACGAGCGGGTCTCTGGCACGGCCATGGCCCCAGAAGCACAGAAACCAATCTCTTAATTATCTGACTCTCAGTAGAAATGCTTGCAGGGTTAATAAATAAAATAGCAGAAATCCAAAACCGCGTGGCTGCTATTGCGGCCGCACGACATCATTTAATTCTTGAACACAGCTGTAGAAAGCAAATCATTTCACAATGGTTTTTCAGCATGGCTGATTTGGGGGGGGCAAAGTCTAAATAATAATGGTGCAACTTTTTTCAAAACAGTGAAGCTAGTCAAAGTAGACAGAGTGTTAACTAGAATTCATCTACCCCACAGACATTGGGGGGGGGGGTTGGGGGGGTTTATTGGGGTTCTTCGTGGTGAAAAATAAGTATTGGTAAAGGGAAATGTGTTTGATATTTGCATGACCGAGACCTAAACCTGAAAGCTTTGTAACTTTTCCCACAGCGATTCAATAAATAAATAAATAAATAAATAAATAAATTTTTAAAAAAAGAAAGCACAGACTGGCGCAGGTCTGAGTCTGGAGGTGCAAATCCCCCCTCACCCCAACTTCTTCTGCACCCACTGACTTGTCAGCACCCACTGACTCCATAGCTTGTAAACAACTTTATTTATTTATTTTGCGGGGGGAGGAGGGAGGGCACAGCTCACAGGGTTTAGGGCTCACTCCTGGCGGATGGAACCTCAGTCCTTGCAATGCAAGCGCCCTGCCCACTGTGCGATCTCCCTGGCCCTGCAAACACCTCTATCAGGTCCCTGAACTCCACCGGCCAACAGCTGCCTGTGGAGACTGTACAGCGATACCTCCTCCACCACCGGCCACCCTTTTCCTCGTCAGCCTCCCGGGACGCACGCCAGCGACCCACCCAGGGTCTTCGTGGATGATGCGAGGTGTGGGTTGTTTGCCCTGCGGACTCCTGGCTGGCGCATGCTTCCCCACCGCGCATGTCCGTGCCCCTGCTCATGAATACGCATAAGTTCCTGGAAATGTACAAATAAGGGTGGATGGCTTGGCCCCTGGGGAATAAATCCAGCCTGCCCTTCTCCCTCTCTGTAGCACGCTCTTCACCCGGTGCTGGCCACACTGGCCACTAACTTACAAGTTGTCTTCTTGCTGACAAAGCCCATCTGTCCAAGCCACTGTTGCTATGATTTGGGTTTGCTGCTAGGAGCCAGAAACCCCGGGACCCCCATCTGCCTCTGGGATGGGGGCAAGTCCAGCCTCTCCCGAGGCCTCAGCGTCCACCTACAGGGTCACGCCTCCAGGGCTGTGCTTGAGGCCTCACCAGGCACTGTGGTTACCCCCCAGCCTGTGTTCTCCAACTCTCCACCGTTGGAGAAAGTATTGGGGGGGTCATGTCTACACAGAACATGCAACTCTACTTGGGGCAGTCCCATGACCACTGAGACATTCTGGCAGGCGATTGCCAGGCTGAGTCCCCAACAAGTTCCCCACGAGGAAGGAAGCCTGACCATTAGTGTCCCCCAGCAAAGTTCACTGAAACGTGCCGGGAGGGGTCCCCAGTTCCTTCTCTCCCCTGGACAAGCTGTAGCCCCGAGAAAAGCCCTCAGGGAAGGCAGCCTGGCCCTGGGCCACACTGCACTGGTGACCGGCAATGTCCATCCCCAGCCAAGAACACGATCCAGTGTCCTTGACAGAGAGAGCAAACACAGCAGCTAACCGGCTGGCAGAGACCCGGCCACAAAAGCCTGGACATCATCCGGCACCTTCTTACTCATGCCAAGAAGGTGGACCGAGGGAGCGTCTCCAAGTCTCTCTGGGCTGGAGGGTTAAAGGGACCACACAGGGGCTGGAGGGATAGTCCAGCGGCTAAGGCACTTGGTCAACTATGGTTTGAATCCTGGCACCACACGGGGACCCAGGCAGGAGTGATCTCTGACCACAGAGTCAGGAGTAAGCCCTGAGCACGGCTGGGAGTGGTCCAAAATCCAAAACTGAAAAAGAAATAGAGACCACACAAACGGCAGATAGGTCTGGCCACACAGCCACAAACAAGGTTCATGGTTAGCAGTGGGCTCACGCTCCAGGCCACACTGGGCATGTCCAGAGGTGCCACAGTGGGTAGGAGAGAGGCTTCTGGGACCCTATTTTTTTCTTTTTTTTTTTTGCTTTTTGGGTCACACCCAGCGGTGCACAGGGGTTACTCCTGGCTCATGCACTCTCAGGAATTACTCCTGGCAATGCTTGAGAGACCATATGGGATGCTGGGAATTGAACTCGGTTGGCTGCATGCAAGGCAAACACCCTACCCGCTGTGCTCTCGCTCCAGACCCTGCTGGGACCCTTTGTGCCTGAGGAGACAGGATCAGAGAGGTCAGTGGCTTGTCCTGTGAGGCACTGATGTGTGGGACTGATGACTTTGGTCTCCCTCTCTCTTTAGTGCTGACATCTGTCCTCAATGTCTGTGGGAGAGCCCAAGTGAACCCCCTTCTCACAGGACTTTTCTGCTCTGGGGGCTGCCTTCTTTCTTACCTTGTAGGCACCTGCGAGGCTGCCCCCTGCTGGGGTCCTGCAGGGGAGACCCGCCTTCTCCAAGGCCTCTTCCGGGGTGGAGCTGCAGCTCAGGACAAAGGTCACCATGTCCCTCAGTGTTGCCGAGTTCTCCTCCAGCGAGGTCACGCTGCTGGTGCAGGCGCCCAACTCATATTTCCAGAACTGGGGACGGCCATTCCTGGGGACACAGGGAGAGCTCACAGATCCCCTGGGCTCCCGCACGATCCCCTGACTACATTTTTGGGGAAAAGATTGAGGAGAGGAGAGGATGTCTGGAGTGATGTTTAAGAACGTGGCTTTGCACACAGGCCTTGCTGGAACCTCCACATCTTTTTTTTTTTTTTTTTTTTGCTTTTTGGGTCACACCCAGTGATGCTCAGGGGTTATTCCTGGCTCATGCACTCAGGAATCACTCCTGGCGGCGCTTGGGGGACCATATGGGATGCTGGGAATCGAACCTGTGTTGGCCATCTTGGCTGCGTGCAAGGCAAATGCCCTACCCGCTGTGCTATCGCTCCAGCCCCGACCTCCACATCTTTTGAAGGGGAGCTATGGCTGCAGTGGATGCTACTAAATCAGCATGTGTCCTGGGCAGCCACTATAACCCCCCCCCCCCCCACACACACACACGCACACTTTCTATTTCCTGTAACCCCAGCCAAACAGGCAAGAAGACTGTGGTGCCAGGCTGGGGAGATATCTCAAAGGGCTGCAGAGCATTTCTTGCATGCATGAATGCATGAGTTCCAGATTCCACCCTGCTGCTGCGTATTCCCTTGAGCATCACCCAGAACAAACCTTGAGCACTGATCCAGGAGTGGTCCCTTAACACCACTGGTGTGACCTCAAAATCCAAACCATGGTGCCGTCTCTGCCATTGGGGCAGGACCAGGGGACAGAGGACACATAGCAGGGCTGGTGGGGGCCTTTGTGTCTCCCTAGAGAGGCTCTTCTGTCAGTTTGATGTCCCTAGTGACAAGCCTAATCTTCATTGATTTCAAAAACACCTTGCGTCTTCTCTCCTCCATATCTTGCAGGGGCTTGATGAGGGGGGCTGCTGTAATGGGGTGGACGGTGACCCCTGCAAAGCTCACAGTCCTCTGTTGGCAGGTGAGATGGCTTTGAAAACAGAACCTTGCAATACAGAGCCCTGAGTGCTGACAGTCTGGGTGAGGGAGTGACAGAGAGAAAGTAGAAATTCACTCTCTCCCACCCAATGGACGGGTCTGAAGCATGAAAGGGGTTGACCAGTTGGCTGTGGAGGACTACCAGCACCGGTAAGAGCACGGAGGCTCAGGGATTGCAAATCCCTGGGAAGATCTGTTCTAAGCAGCAGAGGAGGGGGAGAAAGGAAATGGAGGAACTGACTTTAGGCTCATAGGGGGATTTTTTTTTTTAACAAAGCAAGTAGTAGCTACTTTATTTTTTAACATTTTAGTATATAAATTTTTTTTTTTTGCTTTTTGGGTCACACCTGGCGATGCACAGGGCTTACTCCTGGTTCTGCACTCAGGAATTACCCCTGGGGGTGTTCAGGGGACCCTGTGGGATGCTGGGAATCGAACCCGGGTCGGCCACATGCAAGGCAAGCGCCCTACCCGCTGTGCTATTGCTCCAGCCCCAAGTGTATCAAATTTTGAACACACACAAGCACAACCAATTTCAACAATTCAACAGATTCAACAAAAACAACACACTATTCTTGTGGTTGTTGTGGGGAGTATCCAAGAACTGTTCAGGGGGATCCCAGGGACTCTTCCAGTGATGCTGGGTCAACTGGGCCAACTTACATGTCAATGCAAGAGCCAGAGGATGCTCTGTGACTCAGGCCCTGCAGTTCCACCCACGGGGGGGGGGGAGCGCTTTTGAAAGACCCTCCAGCCCTGGGAGGTGCTAGGGGCACAGTATATGTTTTCCAGGGAGAAGGTGGGAATGGCTGGAGTGCTGAGTGGGGAAGAGATACTGAGTCCAGGTCATTATAGGTCTTGATACCAGGCTAAGGTCAAGTCACTGGCTATCATTAGGGGGGTTTAATTGGGAGTCATGTGATCAGATGGAACTTTAGAAATAGTGGCTCCCATGGGCAGGCTAGTGGTGGTGGGGTGTGGGAGGAGGGCTGTGGGACAGAGGGGATGATGTCCCAAGAGTCCAGGTGGGAGTGACGTGAGCTCTGGGGATGGAGTCACATTCACAGAGCTTGGAAGAGCAGGTGGCACAGTGTCGGCGGCGCCTGGCTCCAGGGCTGGGAATGCAGGAGTTTTGTCTTCTCCATCTGGGCCTGGAAGGTGTCTGATTCGGGTCATAAAGTGGAGAGTGGGCAGTGCCAATGGTATCTCTCTAGAGCTGGACTTTCTGGCTGAATGCAGAGATTTCCTCACAGGGAAGGGGATGGAGATTTTATGTGTGTGTGTGTGTGTGTGTGTGTGTGTGTGTGTGTGTGTGTATGTGAAGGGAGCAGGTTAAGACGGAAATGAGGGTGGGTGAGTGGGACGTTCACTCCCAAGTAAGAGTCAAAACAGGGATTCATGCAAGACTGGGGGCTTCCAAGGCAGGACAAAGAGTTCCAGAGCCACTTGATGCTACTGCTGCCCACTTGCCAGCCCTGGGCTTTACCTGGTGTCTGGGGCAGGCGCTGTCCACTTGCCTGGAGGGCTTCGTCCCAGCAGGGGCAGAGGGCCACTGTTGGCCTGGCAGAACCTTTCAAAAGCAGGAGCGAGAGACTGGGGCAGGACCACCAGGCTGGCTGGCTGGAGCCCTGGGATGTGAGAGAAGAGAGAGACTCTATTAGCTGCTTCTCTGTGGAGCCTTCGAAATTCACCGCTTCCACCAAACACGGAACCCGGCAGGGACCCATAATGGACGTTTTTTTTTTTTTTTGCTTTTGGGGTCATGCCCACCAATGCTCAGGGGTTCCTCCTGGCTCTGCACTCAGGAATTACTCCTGGTGGTGCTTGGGGGACCATATGGGATGCCAGGGATTGAACCCAGGTTGGCCGCGTGCAAGGCAAACGCCCTACCTGCTGTGCTATCGCTCCACCCCCCTCACCCCTACCGCCTGCATCATGAACTTTTTCTTTTTCTTTCTTTTTTTTTGCTTTTTGGGTCACACCCAGCAATGCACAGGGGTTACTCCTGGCTCTGCACTCAGGAATTAGTCCTGGCAGTGCTCAGGGGACCATATGGGATGTTGGGAATCGAACCCGGGTTGGCGCTTGCAAGGCAAATGCCCTACCCACTGTGCTATCACTCCAGCCCCTCTTTTTCTTTTGGGGTCAGTTTTTTTGGTCACTGTTTGTACTACCGCTCAAGCCCCCCTGCATCATGGACTTTTAACAATGCGAACAGCCTAGTCCAAGAGAAAAAACACAGTTGCCCCCTCCCCCACCTCATTGAGACCCCCTCAAGCCACTTCTGGTTGTGTCCAGTCTACAGAGGCTGCCCCTCCCCCGACTGGTAAGCCTGGTCTAGGTCTTACAGGCATCCTGAGTCTCCCGTGGACTCTTAGCCCTTGTGTCCACACCGTCTCTCTGTTCTGGCTGCCAGGTAAGCTTAGACCTGTAGCATCTGACCCAATCCTACTGCAGGGAGAGTTCGAGTGATCGACAGTCTGGGGGTCTTCCCAAACAAGACCACCATGTGAATTTTGTTTATTTATTTATATTTATTTATTTAGGTTGGTTTTGGGGTGCTCAGGGGTGCTCAGGGCTTTTCTCCTGGCTCATTGCTCAGGGAACACTCCTAGAGGTTTCTGGGGACCATATGGGGTGCTGGGGATCAAACCTGGGTCTGCTATGTGTAAGGCAAACACCCTACCTGATGTACTTTTGCTTCCTCCCCATGTATTTATTTATTTATGGTTTTGGGGCCACACACAGAAGTTCCCTGACTGCACTCAGGGATCCCTCCTGGCAGGCTTGTCTCCTTTTAAATTTTATTATTTTTTTATTTATCCATTTATTTATTATTTATTTATTTAGTTTGACTTTTGGGTCACACCCGGTGATGCACAGGGGTTATTCCTGGCTCTGCATTCAGGAATTACTCGTGGAAGTATTCAGGGGACCATATGGGATGCTGGGAATCAAACCCGGGTCGGCCATGTGCAAGGCAAACGCTGTACCAGCTGGTCTATTGCTCTGCTCCCCCTTTTATTTTTTTCTTTTTGGGTCATACCTGGAAATGCACAGGGGTTGCTCCTGGCTCTGCACTCAGGAATTACCCCTGGCAGTGCTCAGGGGACCATATGGGATGCTGGGAATTGAACCGGGGTCGGCCACGTGCAAGTAAACACCCTACCCGCTGGTCTATAGCTCTGCCCCCCCCCCTTTTTATTTTCAGTGCATTTATTTTTCTGACTTTGGAGCCACACTCCGTGGTGTTCAGGCTTTCTCCTGGCTCTGTGCTCAGGGATCACCCCCGGCAGTGCTGGGGGGGACTCTCTGTGGCACACGAAGTGTCAGCGTCACACAAAGCGACAGCTCTCTACTCCCCAAGCCCTGCACGTTTCATTCCTCATGCTTCGGAGTCCGCGTGTGTGCGTGTCCGTGGGTGTGTGCACATGCCAGGCGTGCAGGCGGACACACACTCAACTTCCGTTAACACAGGCAGCTTCTGAAGTGGTGGCACCGTGGACTCTGCCTGGTAGCACGGTGTCCTCGGTCACCCTCAGGGCTCTCTTTCATCCCCGCCTTTGCGGCATGGGCGCGCGGCATTGTCCCGGCACTTCAGCTGCCCCATACGCTTCAGCGCCTGTCCAAAAGTATCACTGGCCATCTTGCTATCTTCTTGGGGAAAGTGATCGCCCATGCCGCATTCTGCGCATACTGCTGACCCAGCAGGCCAGCAGAATCCCGAATCTTCCTGGAGCTCCACCAGAACACTGAGGCAGCCTGCCCTGCTCTCATATGGGGAGTCCGCTGGCTTTGGAGGTTTCGAAAAAACCTAGTTTTTTCCTTCCTTCCTTCCTTCCTTCCTTCCTTCCTTCCTTCCTTCCTTCCTTCCTTTCTGTTTTATTGAATCACTATGGGGCTGGAGCGATAGCACAGCAGTAGGGCGTTTGCCTTACACGCAGCCAGCCTGGCCGAGTCGGGTTCGATTCCTCCGCCCCTCTCGAAGAGCCCGGCAAGATACTTAGAGTATCTCGCCTGCACGGCAAAGCCTGGCAAACTACCCGTGACGTTTTCGATATGCCAGACACAGTAACAACGAAGTCTCCAATGGAGACGTTACTGGGCCCGCTCGAGCAAATTGATGAACAACGGGAGGACGGTGACGGTGAATCACTATGAGATAGAGTTATAAAGCTTTCATGTTTGAGTTTCAGTCATGCAATGATCGGATATCCATCCCCCCACCAGTGCACATTTTTCACCACCAATGTCCCCAGTATCGCCCCCCCCCCCCTTCCAACCCTCCCCTTGCCTCCATGACAGACAATTTCCCCCATACTCTCTCTCTCTCTCTCTCTCCTTTGGGGCATTATGGTTCTCAATACAGATACTGAGAGGCTATCACATTTGGTCCTTCATCTACTTTCAGCACACATCTCCCATCCCGAACTATCCCTCCAAACATCATTGACTTAGTAATCCCTTCTCTATGCCAGCTGCCTTCTCCTTCAGCTCATAAGACAGGTTGCCAACTATGGGGCAGTTTTCCTAGCCCTGTCTCTACTGTCGTTGGGTGTCAGTCTCATATTATGTTATTTTATATTTCACAAATGAGTGCAGTCATTCTATGTCTGTCCTTCTCTTTCTGACTCATTTCACTCAGCATGATATTCTCCATGACCATCCACTTATAAGCAAATTTCATGACTTCATCTCTCCTAGGGGCTGGAGCTATAGTACAGCGGTGGGGCGTTTGCCTTGCACACAGCCAACATGACCGACCCGAGTTCGATTCCTCTGCCCCTCTCGGAGAGCCAGGCAAGCTACCGAGAGTATCTTGCCCGCACGGGAGAGCCTGGCAAGCTACCTGTGATGTATTCGATATGCCAAACACAGTAACAACAAAGTCTCCAATGGAGACGTTACTGGGCCTGCTAGAGCAAATTGATGAACAACAGGAGGACAGTGATACAGTGATACATCTCTCCTAACAGCTGCATAGTATTCCATTGAGACCTAGTGTTTCAATCTCAACTCTGGTTCCAGTGAACAGTGTGCCCCTCGGCTGAGATGTGGGGCTGAGCTGGCAGTGGGCTCAGGAATCTTCCAGAGGACTGCCCTCATTCCTGAGCCTTGGTACTTCACATTATGGCATAGAGAGATACGGATGATATGAAAGATGTTTCCTGTGAGAGTGTGTGTGTGTGTGTGTGTGTGTGTGCGTGTGGTGGGGGAGATGGATCAATAGGCCCCGTGTATGCTTTGCATGAGGGAGGGCTAGTTTGATTCCTTGTACCAAATGATCCCCTGAGCAGGGCTGGGAATGAAGCCCGAACACAGAGCCAGAAATAGATTCCCAAATTCCAACTGTGTGGCCAAAAAAACTGTCCCCAAACCAAATCAAAATAAACGAAAGATGTGAGGGTATGATAACCTCTCAGTATCTGTAATGCAAACGATAATGCCCAAAAATGTATGTGTGTGTGTGTGTGTGTGTGTGTGTGTGTGTGTGTGTGTGTGAGAGAGAGAGAGAGAGAGAGAGAGAGAGAGCGCGGGGGGGAAGGGGGGCAGGAGGGAAACTGGAGGGACAGTGGTGGTGGGAAATGTACACTGGCGGAGGGATGGGTGTTCAAACACTGTATAACTGAAACCAGACCATTAACAGCTTTGTAACTGCATCTCCCAGTGATTCAACAAAAAAAAAAGATGTTAGGGATATAGAAACAATACTGAGCAACAAAACATCTTGTTTGGGCATATTCTCCTTTTTACAAAATTGGTGAGAAAAAAAGAAGTAGGAGAAATATATGCAGAGAATCAATAAACAGCCAAGATTTTGGGTGATTTTCATTTTCTTCAATGTGCTTTTCTCAATATTAAAAAAATGCAGGCAGACAGCAACTATGCTTCATTTTATAACTGGGTGGGAAGGGCAAAGAGGAAGAAGCATCATAGTTCCTCACAAAGGATGGTTTCCTTTAAAAAGAAACCCAGGGGCTGGACCCATAACACAGCGGGTAAGGCGTTTGCCTCGCACGCAGCCAACATGGCCAACACAGGTTCGATTCCCAGCATCCCATATGGTCCCCCGAGCACCGCCAGGAGCAATTCCTGAGTGCCTGAGCCAGGAGTAACCCCTGAGCATCGCCAGGTGTGCCGCAAAAAAAAAAAATAAAATAAATAAAATAAAAAAAATAAAAAGAAACCCAATCTTAAATAATTTTGTAAACCAGGGTGACTTAAAATAAAAAAGATCCCCTCAAAGAGAGACATATGCTTTTGGAGAAATAACATGGAAATCCATTCACCTGTAAGGAGATGCCAATACATGGATGTTTGTGTCATCACTTTGCTAGGAGCGACCAAGCTCCCTGTGCTAAGTAATTTTCTTTTCTTTCTTTTTTTAAGATTTTTATTAGTGAAACACCGTGAGGTACAGTTGTAGACTTACAAATTTTTGTGCTTGGGTTTCAATTATACAATGATTAAGTACCCGTCCCTCCACCAGTGCCCATTTTCCACCACCACGGATCCCAGTATCCCTCCCACCCCCAACACCCCCCCCCACCCTGTCTCTGTGGCAGGGCATTCCCTTTTGTTCTCTCTCTCCTTTTGGGTGCTGTGGTTTGCAAGAGAGGCATTGAGAGGCAATCATGTTTGGTCTATAGTCTATTTTCAGTATGCTTCTCTCATCCTGGGAGGATCCTCCCAACACCCTTTATTTGGTATTCCCTTCTCTATCTGAGCTCCCTTTTCCCCTAGCATGTCAAACTGGCGGGGGGGGGGGGGAGGGAGAGAGCGATGGGCAGAGTGATAGTACGGCAGAGAGGGCATTTGCCTTGCATGTGGTCAACCTGGGTTCAATCCCTGGCATCCCATGTGGTCCCCCCCACACACCGCTAGGAGTAATTCCTGAGTGCAGAGCCAGGAGGAACCCCTGAGCATCGCTGGGTGTGACCCAAAAAACAAGTATGATCATCTGGGCTGGACAGAAGGCGAGAATGCAGCTCCGGGAGGTGGAGTGGCTCTCCCAGGCTCACGCATGGGCATGTGGCACAGTCAGGATGCCAGCCTGGGTCAGGTACCTGCTGAGTGTCTGTCCTTTTGTTTCAGGGCTATGGGCACTGGGGCACCTGGACCAAGCCCGGAGCTTCCTCCTCCAGTGCCTTCCTTCTTGGGGCTGATATGGGGTGGGGGGCAGTGCCCCCCCATCTGCTGGGGATCCGTGCGGGGCTGATCCCCACTCTCACAAGGCATGCCTGGAACTCATTATCCCGAAGCCCTCCGAGCTGCCAAGGCTGCAAAGCAGACTTGCAAAATGAGGTCAAGCCAGCCGGCCCAGCTGCCAAACGGCCAAGGAAGCTGATTGTGTGGCTCAGAACCCACCCCCCACCCCCAGCTCATCTCCAGAAAAAAAAAAGATTCTGAGCCAGAGGGGAAGGTCTCCAGCTAGCCTCCAGGTCCCCCCCGTTCCCCAGACACCCCTTCTACCTCCTAAGCTGATGGCAGAGCAGATTGGATTTTTCGTACAATAAATCAGGGTGCAATTATGCGCACAAAGCAGCGGTGTTTGCTTTCTAATTAAGTGTGCTTCAGGGGGCCCTGTGTGCCATGCTGTTCATTCCCACCTTCGTCCCCGTTAGCCCTAGGACACAGAACTGAGGGCTCGGCTGTGGGGTTCTGCAGGGGGTGGGGGTGGGGAGCGCGTTCCCTGGGCTCGCAGACTTCATCCGTGACACCCCTGCTGCTGTGATTGAAGAGCTGCCACGCTGAGTCTTCTGAGTCCTAATGTCCCAGAGCAAGTCCCCCCTCCCCCCTGCTTAGCACTGTGATGAACCTGAAGCTGGACGTGGCTGATCTTCGGCGCTTGAAGTGAGCGTGACTCCTGGTGGGTTGCAGATGAGGCTGGGCCAGGAAATGCCATTTGCCCATAAAATATAGTAAAGTGGGGCTTGAGTGATAGCACAGTGGGTAGGGCGTTTGTCTTGCACGTGGTCAACCCGGGTTTGAGTCCCAGCATCTCATATGATCCCCTGAGCACTGCCAGGAGTAATTCCTGAGTGCAGAGCCAGGAGTAACCTATGTGCATCGCTGGGTGTGACCCAAAAAGCAATATATATATATAATATATATATATATATATATATTAAAGTTCTGCCAGGAACTGACTCTGTCGCCCCCTCTCTGGCTTCCCTGAGAGTTGGGCAATCAGTAGGTGCCCTGGGGTAAAGCTGGTTTTAGCAACACCTCTGTTGTCTCCTTTGCATCTCCCAGAGTGACTGACTTTCAGCCTGGGGTCCTTTTTTTTTTTTTTTTTTTTTTGCCTTTTGGATTACTTCTGGCTCTGCACTCAGGAGTTACTCCTGACAGTGCGCTCAGGGGATCACATGGGATGCTGGGAATTGAACCCGGGTCGGCTGCGTGCAAGGCAAATACTCTACCCGCAGTGCTATCTCTCCAGCCCCAAGCCTGGGGTCCTTATCAGCGTATTTCCTTCTGTCCATACCCCAGAGGAGCCCCACAGCCCCATTTGTTCCATCAAGTCTGCCTGGACTTCATGCCTTGCATGGATGATGGGGCAATATTAGGAGACAGATGAAAAGTGAACAGAGGTGGGGCTGGAGCAATAGTATAGCGGGTTGGGCTCTTGCCTGGCACGTGTCCAACCCAGGTTCAATCCATCCCATATAGTCCCCTGGGGGACTGCCAGGAGTGATTCCTGAGTACAGAGCCAGGAGGAACCCCTTGAGCGTCACCAGATGAGGTGCAAAAATTAAAAAAAAAAGTGAGCAGAGTTCTGAACTTGCTGGTACCTGGGGTCCCAGCCTGCTGGGATACTCTCTTGCAAAGTCTCTACAGAGAGATAGGCGCTTTGGGGGGATGGTGTAAGGATCGAACCCATGGTCCCATATCTGCAAAATATGTGCTTGATCACTGAGCCACATCCGCAGCCCCTAGGTGAAGTTTGACAACCACTGCGGGAGGCACCTAGAAGAGGAATCTGAGACCAACCCACCCCAGGGGGCGCTCCCAGAGAGGGTGGTCGCCTGGGACAGCCTGTCCTGCAGAAAGCCCAGCCCAGCCTCCACACCAGAATTATGCAAATTCACCCTGGAATTAGGTTCAAGCCATGGAGGTGGGGGTGCATTTTTAGCAAAAATAGATAAATGTGGATCTGCTCCGGGGCTAGGCATCCACTCTCCCCCTCTGGAGTGCCTCTCTGAGGCAGAAAGGCCTTAAGTTTTTTTTTTGGGGGGGTCACATCTGGCAATGCACAGGGGTTCCTCCTGGCTCATGCACTCAGGAATTACTCCTGGCGGTGCTCGGGGCACCATATGGCATGCTGGGAATCGAACCCGGGTCAGCCACGTGCAAGGCAAACACCCTCCCTGCCGTGCTATCTCTCTAGTCCCCCTTAATTTTCACAATAATGCCATTTTTGCTGGGTCACTTTTTTAGGGGCAGTTTGGATATCTGTTTTTCTTTTTTTAGAGAGACGGTGGGGGAGACCAGTGCCGCCTAGAAAATAAGATGCATCCAAGAGAGGGAGGCTTGACCTCTGTCAAAATAAAATGGAGAGTGACCTGGGGACACTTCCTGGGAATGACACTCCCAACCATTGTCTGGTTCTCCTCGGAAGTTGTCATGTTGGCAAAGAGCTGGTGGTCCTGGAGTTGTGAGGCCAATGCCGCGTCCCGGGAAGCCAAGCAGGGGTGAAGCCACCTGCAGAAGCTACAGGTCCCAGGGACGCCCCCAAGGTCCCCCACAGCTAGCATTTCGGGGGGGGCAGTCAGTATTTGCTTTTGAACATGGCTCCCCCCAACTCACCACCAGTCATGTTGGACAGGATTCTGATGTTTGGCGTCTTGCGTGGAATCAAGCTCCATAAGGCAGAGGAGAAGCGAGATCCTAGGGACAGCGTGAGGGGCATTGTGCCATGCTCGGGTGGGTACAGAGAATCTGGGGGAAGGAGACAGAGGGAATTGATCAGAAGCACAGAGTCAGCAGGAGATGTCAGCTCCCTTCCGGGAGGTTCCTGGGCCTGCTCCAAGGGGCGTCACCCAGCTCTCTCCCTGGCCCCTAGTATCTCCATTTCTCTGCGCTTCTCTCTTCACTTGGTGCCAGGGATCAAACCCAGGGCTCATACATGCAAGGAGTGTGCTTGACATCCGAGTATCACCCATGGCTCTTCTGCATTTCAAAAATTCCTGAATGCAGGGGCCAAAGAGGTAGTACAGTGGGTAGAGTACTTGACTTGCACGCAGCTGACCTGGATTTGATCTCTGGCACCTCCTATAGTCTCCAGAATCCACCAAGAGTAATTGCTGAGCACAGAACAGGAGTAAGTCCTGAACTCTGGCAGGTATGGTCCAAAAACCAGTAAACAGGGGCTGGAGCAATAGTACAGCGGGTGGGGTGTTTGTCTTGTATGCGACTGACCTGGGTTTGATTCCCAGCATCCCATATGGTCCCCTGAGCACTGCCAGGAGTAATTCTTGAGTGCATAGTGCATGAGCCAGGAGTAGCCCCTGTGCATCGCTGGGGGTGACCCAAAAAGAAAAAAAACCCTCAAAACCCAGTAAATAAAGTTAAGAAGCAATGAGAGACAGCAGGGAAGGGAGACAGTGGTGGAAGGAGGGGGTATGCTGGTGGATGGGGTGTGGTGGGAGTGTTGCACACTTGAAATTCTGTAATTAACAGCGCTGTAAATCACGGGGCCTCTCGTTACAAGAAGACACTGAGATGATATCAAATCTCTAACAAACTCCATTTAAACACATGTCCGGAAGTGGGAGAGCAGGCCAGAGGGTACCCTCACAGGCCTGCAGACGAAGTGCCCTGGGGACACGGAGGAGGGACAGCCGGTCACACGGGGAGGGTCAGGTGAGGCTGGGCTCGCTGGACGGAGGCTGTAAGCAGTCCATCTGGCCGGTCAAGCCCACGCCTGCCTGCCGGAGAGGAGCGCCAGGGCCTGGCAGCCTGACCACTTGGCCGAGTGGCTGAGGCAGCAGCCCTGGTCCCGGCTGAGTGTGGATCCCCAGCGCCACTGCAGGGCGCCCAGCAAAGGTCAAATCCATAACTGTGTGGGACAGCGGCCAGACCCCCTCTGATCCCTCCTATCTGGAGAGCGAGAGGGTGCTGGCTTAAAAGGCCCGGAAATGAGAGTGCGGGCAGACACCTGTTAGCCACCTCCTGTCGTTACTGTCCAAGGCATCAGGGACAAGCAGAGGGCAGGGGGTGACCACAGGGACCTTCCCTGCACATGTACAGAGAGGAGCTTCATGGGGAAGGATGAGAAGTCACAGACCATTTTCTTTCTTTCTTTTTCGCTTTTTGGGCCACACCCGGCGATGCACTGGGGTTACTCCTGGCTCATGTACTCAGGAGTTACTCCTGGCACTGCTCGGGGGACCATATGGGATGCTGGGAATTGAACCTAGGTTGGTTGCGTGCAAGGCAAATGCCCTACCCGCTGTGCCATCGCTCCAGCCCACAGACCATTTTCTTTAAGCTGAACTTAGCCAAAAATAGTGAGTCTCCCCCAAGCAGGAGACATTCAGGGCCCCCCACCTCTGGTTTCTGCACACCCCTCTGCCCGCCAAGCCCCCCCCCCCCCCCCCCAAATCACACAGTCTTACACTCGACACTGGTAGAATAGAACAAGCAGATGTACAGCCCGTGTCTCCACTCATTCAGCTTTGGGGTGGGAGTTGCTCAATATTTGCCAAGAGAGTCGCTGGTGGCAGTCTAAATACGACTGCAGATTTGCAAAATAGAAGCGGTCAGGAGGAAGGTAGCCTCGTGGTGGAACTATTTAATTCCTTTCACTCTAAAGAACATTTTATTCTTTAGTCCCTTGTGATGACAGGGACTGAAGATTGGGGGAAGTGCTGGCAATCACAATTAGTGGTTGTTTAACAGGTCAGACACAAATGCTCCCCTGATGCAAAAAATCATTCACAAATGTCTTCAAGCCAAGCAGGGCTGTCTCTCCCCCGACCCTTTCTAAACCTTGGGACCCTAAAGTCATTCAGCAAAACAGAGAAGGTGGGGAACTGTGAGGGAGTGGAGGGTCAGAGTCCTAGGGATGAGGAGGTGCTCCCAGGTGAGGTGGTCTGTTCTGTACTGTCATGACTGATCAGAAAAAGTGGGGTTCTTACTCATTCAAGAGCGGATCGGCAGAAAACCCAGGTATGTGGGACCCTGTGACTGAGATCTCCAAGCCCACTCAGATTGGGACTAGGCCTCCTCCCCCCAGCTCCCCAGTTTTCCAGTAGCTTGGCAGTCACACCCACAAACTGCCCCCAGTGCCATATAATCTCATCAACGGCCAAGGCCCAGAGACTATAAACTAAAGCTCCTGGAAGAGAACGACACAGAATTCCCTGGAGCGTGCGGCCACAAATGCGACCACGCAGCTTCTTACACGCTATCTCACTTACCAAAAGTAGCACACATTTGTTTGGTTTTAACATACTTGCTTGCATTATCTTATATTCAGGCTTAAATGCCTCCAGAAGGAAATACAACAACCTTCACATACTTCCCTCTTATTGTGGTGGGAAAGTGCTTGGTGGTAGAATTGGTGTTTGAATATTATCTGCAATGAAGTATTGTGAATTACTGTTATGAAAAGTAAAGTAAAGGCCCTCCCGTTGATCGTCGATTTGCTCGAGCGGGCCCAGTAACGTCTCCATTGGAGACTTTGTTGTTACTGTGTTTGGCATATCGAATACTCTCGGTAGCTTGCCGGGCTCTCCGGGGTTTTTTTAGCAATAGTCAGGGGCAACTTCATACAGCATCATGGCATAAGAAATGTGTGTGTGGTGTAGTGAGTATACATGTGTGCCTGTACATGTATGTGAATGTATTGTGTGCCCCTGTGCGTGCGTATGAGTTCGAGTAGTGGTCCCCTGAGGAAGGTGGCTCAGACGTGTGGGGACAGCTTGAAGATATTGGACTCAATAAAATAATCTTGCAACAAGACAGATACAGCAAGAATACACTGGCATGAGCTGTCCAGAACCATTAGATCCAAAGAGAAAGGTAGTCACCAGGCTAGAGGTGACAGGGGATGGTGGTTGGTGCTTCATGGGGAATCAAGTTTCACTGTGGAGCCAAACAAGTGTCAGAGCTGGATGGGGCCATGTTGGTTCAACAGGACCGGGGTACGCCAGGCTGCCCATCTGTGACCCAAGGAACGGTTCAGAGAGAAAATTTCCTGGTCTATATCCTTAACCACACAGGAAATGTAATAGTTAATTTAAAAACAGTAAATGGCAAATGTCCTATGGCAAAGGCTTGGGGGTAAGAAGAGTGGCCCCAGGTTTGCCATGGGTCTTGAGTGAGTGATCGAATGCCCTCTAAGCTTGGCTTCTGCTTCCACCACTCTGGACAAGTGTTTATCTTGAGAAAGGGTTTTTGTGCAGCTACAGCTTATGGCCCAACATCAATCCTGTGAAAATATGGGGAAGATGCTGCCAAATGTGACGGTGAAAACCTCCAGAGTCATGGCATCAACCAGAGCCTCATTCTTCAAAGCAAATCTGCTTTGAGTTACTTGGCCCAATCAAGCAATCCAGCCTGATGGCCAAACTCCAAGGCCTGGAGCTGCAGCAGGCGAGGAAAAAGGTCTTTTCACGGTCCTGTGCTTGGCCCATGGAATCAGTATGTGAGTGTTGCCGATTCAACACAGAGGGTCTGCCCGGCTCTGTGAGGCCAAGTTCCTGAAATGAGGAGACCCCAACCCAGAGAACCAGACGCCAGTGAGGACTTTGATGCTCCGTGGCAGGGCTACAGAGAGAAAAGGTGGCGCTGTCGGCCATGCCACCAATTGAACCAGCCAAGCCTCTCAATTCCATGGACTCTTCCTGTCAATGTAAGTCAGGAGAGAGATTTTTGATTTTTTGGTTTTCGTTTGTACGTTTTTGGGTCACACAGAGCGGTGCTCGGGGCTTACTCCTGGCTCTGTGCTTAAGGAATCACTCCTCCTAGTGGTCTCCTGGGACCAGGAATCCTACTTGGGTCAGCCCCCTGCAAAGCAAATGCCCTACCTGTTGTACTATCACTCCAGTCCCTCATTCTAGGGTTTTTCTAGTCTGTAATGATGTGGGAGTTATTTAGGAATTGGTGGTGGCATAGATTATTAGAGTTTCTGCCCCTTCTGCTCCTGTGTGGGATTCAGAATGTGGTTGATTCTTAGAATTGGAAGGTTCTGGTCTCAGAACAGAACCAAGTTCTCGGCCAGGGCTGTTCTGGGAAGTGCCCTGACCTTTAACCTTCTGTATTGATTAGACTTGATAGAAGGTAGGTTTGTTTCTTTTGTTTGGAGCCAGAGAGATAGCTGAGGGGTCAGGGCGTTTGCCTGACACGTGGTCTGGCCCAGTTCAAGCTCTGGTTTAGTGTATGATTCTCTGTACACAGGAGTGATTCCTGAGCACAGAGCCCGGAGCATGGCTAGGTGTACCCCACTCCAAATTTCTGAAGCGCCTTTTATTATTTCGTGTGTTTGTGGGGAAAGGGCTGTGCTCAGGGACCCTAGGGACCCCCGCCGTCCACACTCAGCCATCAAGGCCTGACAGTTCAATGTTGGGGCCCAAGGAAACGGTGCTACTCAGCGCCCGGGAGCCTCCAAGGCTATACCCGGTAGTGCCCAAGGCTCCGTGTTGTGCCAGGTTCAGTCGGGTCCAGTGCATGCAAGGCATCCTGATGTCTGAGCTGTCTCCCAAGCCCCCTACAAGGCAAGTTTAAAGGGTGTATACACACACACACACACACACACACACACACACACACCTTGTTTTAGAACACAAACATACAACAATTTAATTCAAATCCAAGTGAATGAAGCTGAGGCCAGATCACGTCTGCTTCTCTCTGCAGCTATGCCAACATGGCTATGGAGCGGTGCAGGACTAGCTGGGACCAAGGTCCAGCAGTTTATTAGAACCACCTAGAAA